AGAACATGGTTTTGAAGATTGTTGCAAACTTGCCGTTTCAAGGGATTTCGAACTGTGTAACCCCCGTTCCGATCCGAGACTTTTGCGCCGTGTTAGAGGGGGTGTTTTTTATTTGGACGCCCTGCACATCGAAGGACAAATTCAATGTTTTCCTCTTGATACTGAGCTTTATTATGAGCATAAATATACCAAAAAACTAGCAACAAACGCACTCAAAATCTGCCAGTAACTTTTATTATGTTGGCAGGGCTGCGACTGTCCGTTTCGCTGATATTTCTGGAAAAAGATCCTAATCTCTATAATTTTTTTGAAAATACCTCGATCTTCGCCGCGGTACCGAGGAAAAGACGAGCTGCCTGAATTCTCGATGGCGCCAGATGAAAATCGAGAGGTTGACGAGGCTCTAAAAGCGTTGGCTTCAAGTATATGAGGTCAGATTGCAACCTTGGACATCATCACACAGTACCACGCACTCCTCACATCCGATGCCAAGTTGCCAAATTTTAGCATGATTTCGGGAATGAGCAGGAGGACGACAGCAGACGTTGCCGTCAATGCTAAATTATAAAAATTCGTGAGCTTCAGATTTTATTTGATTGATTTTGTAAAATTTTTGCAGTTCGGCTCGTAGGCTTTGTTGCTGTGAATTCTCAGGCTCCATGGAATTACCGAACCTGAAGTGATATTGACGCTCCGAAGAGCAGATTTCTGGGACTCGTTCAACCCAAGCAAGCGGGTCGATTGCTAAAGATATCATCAATTAACAGCCGCCAAAAAAGCACTTACCTTCCTGAGCAAAATCCCAATCACGGCATAAATCACCACGGTCACTACAACGCTGGCCATCCGGTTGTAAGTGTAATAACCATCCAAGGCCGCGTTCGGAAAATCCGAAGCCGTACAATAATCAGGGACCAGGTCTGAGGAAAACACATTGAGAATGATGTTGACGATGTAGAAGCCGATGGCCACAATGTAGGGCCCTGGAAGTGATCGCTTAAACAAATTCCGTAGTTTTATTTTTCAAGACGTTCCCATGCCGAAATGGCTTGGATTGCTGTTGACCTTCTTTAAAAAGCACTTATTTTTTGATGACCTGACTGTGGAGGCCCGTCAAACTTTACAACTCTACTTTTTTGGTTTTGAAATGACTTCCTGGGTTACGGCAATTTAGCTGTTTTGAGAAAAACTGCACCTATGGCAGGTCAAAATGCTAGGAATGGGGAATGATCTTTACCCACGGGTTACCGTAGCGTAAAGAGGACGGGAGGGGAGAGAGATAGATATGGAAAGAAAGAGAGATAGATGAAGAAAGAGGGCGAGCTATAGATAGAGAGAGAGAGAAAGAGAGAACACAGGTTAGAACACTTACATCCCATCATATAAACCGCAAATCTTGGTCCATGTTTATAGTATTTTGTCGGCCACATCGCCGCATACAATCGATCAACGGCTAGGGCTAAATTTGAAGACCCGAGGATTTGAACAGCAATGAAGAAAGTTATGACATTGGGCGCAAAAGTACAAGCACTGGCTGGGACGCGACCAGCTGAAAAGCAACTTATGAGATTCCAGGTGGCATTACCAGTTTTCGGGTCGTAATATCCATTGTAGAATAGGACGCGTTTCATCTGGGAGATGAGCATCGACACAGCGTACAGAGTGTCGGCGAGTAGTAGAAAAAAGATGGTGATAAAATCCTTTTTCGCCCGTCGCTCTGCTTTGACGAGGATCATGATTTCGAGTGGGATTGTAATTACCATCACAACAACGGCTAAAAGGAGGGATGATCTTTCTCCCTCTCCTCTCTCTCTCTCTCTCTCTCTCTCTCTCTCTCTCTCTCTCTCTTTCTCTCTATCTCGATCTCGATCACCTACCTTCCACACAATAAATGTAAATCGGATTCCAGCCCATGTCGTCTCAGAAATATCAGCCAAAAAATTTAGCTATCAAACTACTCAGAGATACAGTACAGTCAAGGCTGCCAAAAATTCCGGCCGGCCTTCCGTATTTTGACGAGACGATAGATCCGGTTTTCGGCCCGGGACCGCCGGGGAATTGGCCAACCCCATAAACGTGATATTCGGGCGAAAGCCACAGACACATGGGTTCAAAAATAAAATAACAGCGCGCTTTGATTTAATTATCGGATCAACGGGGTAAAAAAATTTACGGCTGAAAAGCCGAGAAGTTGGGCTAAGCTGGAGACCTGAAAATTGGTCAAAAAATGGCATTTTTAGAGATATTCTTGTGGACCGAAGATAGACTCGAATGCCATTTTTGATGTGTTTTCCGATACCATGAGCGTATCTAACAGATTGATTAAAATATTTTTATATGGTAATATTTGGCATGGCTCTCCTTGGTGATATTAGGTGACCGTTTGCCCTCATCATTGCCGAGAGATTTGTGGTTTCCATTTCGCTACAAGTTACAGGGGATTAAAAGCTTATTACAGGCTTTAAAATACCATCGAACTCGATTCGGCCGGAAAATTGAAAACACCATATCCCGAAATTCTCGATGGCGCCAAAGGAATATGGCGAAATTCACTGGGCTCTGAAATTCCTTCATTGTTGCGCTTTTGCGACGTCATTTCTTCATCTTTCAAGTATTTCATTATGCCATCGGCTCGATTACGCGTTTGCCTACATTCTTCTAACCCCATACATCGGCGCTAACTTCGTCTGGCTTTTTCAGCGTTTATACGATTTATGTTTTTTAGACAAATTCATTTTCGCGGTCTCAGTCACAGCCCGAAGGAAACTGCCGTGACAAAACCCTGACTTTTGTTTCCATTGTGGCCGGGTGTAGCGCAAAAAGTACAAGGGTGAAAAGCAACAACAAAAGCCGTTCTACGTCAAGCGGCAATACAATGTAAATGCTTACTTTTGACAACATCACGCAGTACCAGAAACTCCTGACGTGCACGGTCAACTGCCCGAATTTTATCATGCACTCGGGGACTAATAGGAGTACGATAGCAGAGAGCGCTGTTAGAACTAGATAAACCTTTAGACGAATGCATTCAAAAAAAAACTTAATACCTAAAAACTTACATGAAGTTTTGTTGACTTGATGAAAATTTTTCCTGTGCCCTTCCTGAAGTCCGGGGATGTTTTTTGATTGCTGAAAGGAAACGATGGTTTTTACCGCATTCGTTTTTCAATATAACATTAATTTTAAAATTAAGTTTTTAGCAAATGATCCTACATTTTGAAATCAAAGTTATAAAAATTAATGATGCTGACCCGCATGACGATTAAGCCAATCATTCCATAGAGTAGTACGGTAAGCGCCACGCTTCCGATTCGATTATACGAATAATAGGCCCGGAGATAAGGATTCACAAAATCCTTCGAGATACAGTAATCCGGTTGTGTGGCCGGATAAATAGCGTTGAGGATGATATTCGCGATATAGAAGCCGACGGCTAGGGGGTAGGGCCCTAAATTTGAGTATTTCTAGCTGAACGTGGCTAAAAATCATTTAGTCAAGCCAGCAACGTTTCTTTAGGAAATTGGAGCACTTTTTAGTGTGCCTAATGAACGAGTGTAGCCGTCTGTCAGGTGCTACTACGAACCACGAAAATGGGGATGAAAAGCTTTTACTAATATTAATATCCTACTATATATAAAAAAATAGTGTTTGTGTGTGTGTGTGTGCCATTTGCATGCAACTTCCGTCATTATGTTCCAGTCGTATCTCGATAGGGGAGGAAGTTACGGGCATGTTTGATACGCCAAAAGGTGCGTAATGGTCATGACACGACTGCACACATATCAGATTTTACAAAAAGTGCTATTTTCGACATTAAAATTAAGTTTTTATGAAAATCCGGGTCTCCCTCTTTGTTAGGAAACAATTAGCATGCACGGGAAGTGCCTATATAAATGCCTATATATGCCTATATATAAATGCCTATATGCCTATATAAAGGGTCAGAAGGGGATATTTTTCATTTTTTCGGCATGGGGATTCGAACAAGTATGCAAAGTGCAGAATATCATCGGATCAGACGGGGCCAGGTTGAAAAGTCGCGAAGCGGCTTTTCAACCCTGGTTAATATTAAAACTCACACGCCATCATAATCCCAGCAAACCTGGCGCTCATTTTATAGTATTTTCCCGGAAATATCGTGACGTATAACCTCTCCAGGGCCAACGCCAAATTTGAGCACCCGACGACTTGAACAGCTATGAAAAATAGTATAACATTTGGAGCAAATGTACATTGATCGGATTGGATCCACTCCGCTGAAAGTATGGTTGGTAGTACCAACTTGGTACCATATAAAACTGATATTACCATCGTCTGGATCATACTCTCCGTCGTAAAATATTAGCCTTTTCAATTCGACCACCAGCATTGCCAGCGCGAAAAAGGTATCGGCCATCAATAGGAAGAAAATGGTGATAAATTCCTTGGCGTGGCGCCTTTCGTGTTTGCATATGATCATGATTTCAAAAGGTATCGTTAGGGCAAGTACAAAACATGCTGAAAAAAATATTAAAGCCTACAAGGCTTCTCCTACACTCTACAATATACACGTAGATCGGCCCTGATGACGCCATTTCTCATCAAATAGGCAATTTTTAATTATATTTATGTAATTTTAATTTTTAATGACAATATAGCGGCTTGAGACCTCAGGGTCCAAGGCCAACACATCCTTTTTTCGGGCGCTGACGGGGGGGGGGGATCTTGCAAACCCAGTAGACCGTGAAGAATCTGGAAAATATGCAAAAAATGCCCCCACAATCCTGACGTGCAATTCCTGGAGGTCAATGTAGAGAATTTCCAAATATTCGTATAGCCAAATTCACAATGCAGGACTATACGAAATTACCACGGCTCGGCGCAAAGTGAAAGAAAAGTTGATGACTAGCTTGCCGCGACAATTTTTGACAATGCCCGGTAAGCGGGTACCTGTCGCCGGCGGGGTCGCCAAAAGTTGGGTACCTATATAAATGAGCCAAACCTGAAGATGGGTACCGAAAATGAGGCTTCTGCTATTAATTTGCATAATTTCTTCTGTCTTTGGCGCTACCATCAAGAAGCGACAAGTGGTCGTCAATTCTGGGGTCATCATCATCGTGCCGAACAGTGAGTGATTTGTGGAACCTCACTACGGTTTTAACGCGATTTTTACAAAACAAAAATTATCATCCTGGTATTAAAAGTCGAGTGGATCATTAGCAAATTATACCAATAAAACAATAAAATTCTGTAATAGCGTGTAGCCGCTCTCTCTCTCTCTCTCTGCCAAAGTAAGCATTTTCCAGACGTATATCCGCCAGTCATCCAAGTGAACACATCGGTCCCTGCCGATAAGGTAACATCGACCAGCCATTGACTTAACTTTTAACCGCCTAGAGTTCAACCCCTCCGCCGAGCAGCACCACTGCTGAACCTCCCACGACTACGACCGGTTCGAGCACCACAACCGCTGAGCCTCCAACGACTGGATCCAGCACTACCACTTCTAAGCCTCCGACAACTGGCACCACTGCTGCCCCTCCCACGACCACGTCAAGCACTACAACCGCTGAGCCTCCAACGACCGGATCGAGCACCACGACCGCTGAGCCGCCTACGACCGTCACTACAACGGCTGAGCCTCCAACCACCAGCTCGAGCACCACAGCTGAGCCTCCAACCATTACCTCGAGCACCACAACCGCTGAGCCTCCAACGACCGGATTGAGCACCACAACCGCTGAGCCTCCTACGACTACGTCGAGCACCACTGCTGAGCCTCCAACCGCTGGGTCGAGCACCGCAACTGCTGAGCCACCCACGACTGCCTCCAGCACGACAACTGCTGAGCCTCCGACGACTACCTCGAGCACCACTGCAGAGCCACCAACGACCGTCACTACAACGGCTGAGCCTCCAACCAATGGTTCGAGCACTACACCTGCTGAACTACCTACGACAACGTTGAGCACCACTGCTGAGCCTCCAACCACTAGTTCGAGCACTACACCTGCTGAGCCCCCTATGCCTTCGTCAAGCACCACTGCTGAGCCTCCGACGACTATCACGAGCCCTACCACTGCAGAGCCACCAACGACCACATCGAGCACCACGACTGCTGAGCCGCCCACGACCGCCACTACAACGGCTGAGCCTCCAACCACGAGCTCCAGCACCACAGCTGAGTCTCCAACGACCGGGTCGGGCACCACAACTGCTGAGCCACCCACGACCAGTACTAGCACTGCCGAGCCTCCCACGACCGGATCGAGCACTACAACTGCTGAGCCTCCGACGACCGTTAGTACCACTGCTGAACCTCCAACCACTAGTTCGAGCACCACAGCTGAGTCTCCAACCACTGTATCGGGCACCACAACTGCTGAGCCTCCTACGACCGGATCAAGCACCACATCCGCTGAGCCACCAACCAACGGCTCAAGCACCACGGCAACACCTGAACCGAGCACCACGACTGCTTTAATTCCCACCACCACAACGACGGAAACTCCGAAGCCGAGCGTGACATCTCCAAGCAGCACCACAACCGGCATCACAACGACCAGACCTCGACCAGTAGGAAAAAACTGCCGTCTGGTATAGTGAGGTCTTAGAACTTCTGGTATCCAGACTTTAGGTTGAGAGCTGTGATGCTTTCCCGGGTTGGACAAATATCTATGGGGGATGCTACAAGGTAAAAATTGCATTTTGAAGTCTAATGCTCTCAACAAATTTTTTTTAAGATTATATACGCCAATACGACTTGGGATGACAGCAGAGAATTATGCGAGGAAGCCGCGGGCGTGTGCGCCGACTTGGGCGTCATACAATGCGAAGAACAAAACGATGCCATCTTCCGTAACGTGCCTCGATTTTCAGTCATCTCTGCTTTAGAAAATGCTCAGCAGCTAGTCGAACGCGGAGTCAGGATCCCTGAGTATTATCACCGGGTACTATTTTTGCCATCCAAATACCCCAAATTTTAGCAACTATGGATCGGCTACCATGCACTTTCACTAAAAAATCTTGTCAGTTTGCGTACTGTCATCGGGAATTACACGTTGGTCTGGACCCCCTTCCAAACTCATCTTATAGGCGTTGGGTCCCCGGCGAGCCGAACGATTTCGTGGGCTTAGGTGAAGGCTGTGCACAGGTACAACATTTTTTGCAAAAATCACCCCTATCAGATGTATCTGACCGGCCCAAGGTCTTCTATAAAATCCTGGAACGACCTTCGATGCAACTTGCCAATGCTCGGTGCTTTGTGCGAAATACCGACGGTAGGCATTATTTTACCATACGTTTACTTTGAAATTGGCAGATCGCGTCGAAAAGTGGCTGTCAACTCCCCTAGTGACTCCACACACGCTTGCGCCGATACGATTTTAACGACTGGGATCTCCATTTGGCCCATACTTGTTGATTTTTGATAAACTTTCCCCATACAGCGTATTCCAAAAACAGCAGCCCTCCGGCATTTTATCGTATTACTTCCAATCGGTCCCCATCGTACCATCCTTAGACAGCCCCAACACTGACTTATCGTGCGCCACCTACAATAATTTTCGAGTTACAATAAAAATAATTCATAATGCATTTTTCATTGGGTTATCGCTGGAGTCGACCGTTGGCATATTAAGTGAAAATGATGCGGGAAGGCTTGGTTAGCACTAGAAATTCTTTCCTAACAAAAATCAAACGAAATAAAGGCGAGCAACAACGTTTAAACGTGTTTTGCAAGCAAAAATTAGCCCGGGCCATATGCGAAATAAGGGATTCGGAAGTCGATGCAAATCGATGCAAAGTACAATAGATAGCCGAAAAAAACCATTAAAAATCTTATAGAAATGAGTATTTTGGCTATAACGTTATGAACCACTGTAGAAATCGGGCTATAACTCAGGATTGTGGTTATTTATAGTTTGATACATCTCTGGCAAATTTTGGGACCGCTCGGATGTAGCACGGTGAAACGTCAGATGGGTGCTTTTATTTGGGACACCCTGTATACCAAATTCCCAGAAAACCACGTATATCTAGCTTCTCACAAGAAGTAATTTTCCCACGCAATGAACACGACATTTGATCCCCGGCAGAGCTGGAAGATAAAACCGAACATCATCGCGCAAGTTCCCAGCCATAAATCGAAGCGTCTGTAAACTTTTGCACTCGTCGCAACTTTCCCAACGCCACACTTTTTGCAACAGCATGCTGCTCGCACTGCTCGCGGTGCTACTTGTAAATGTGGCGGCCGATTGTCCGTGTCCATCTACGGGTATGTGCTCTAATTTGTCGCCTACAGTTTTTAGTTATATTTATACGGTTAATACGGTCCAAAAACGCTGGCAAAAAATTAGGAGATATGCCTTTTCAGGTTATTGGTCAACATGGTCCAATAGCGGCACATGCGTTCCATTAAATGGTTGGGCTGAGACCGTGGTAAGTTCTGAAAGGCAGATTGAATGAGAGAGACAGAGAGAGAGCGAGAGAGAGAGAGAGAGACAGAAACATCGAGAAAGACAGACAGTTTCGAAAACTGCAGCATAAGTTCATGAAGTATCCGAATTTAGCAAGCTAACCAAGCGACCATCACATCAAAATCGACGAATTACTCGTGTGGATATTGCGGTCGTCAAGCCCAAGTCAGGACTTGTCTCTCCGCAAAACGAGGATGCAAATGCCGGTAATTCCCAATCCAAAATGACTTGATTTCCAAACGTAAAATAGTGGAGCTAACGTCCGGATAATAATGTGCGGTTCGGCGAGCCCGTGCGCCACCACTCAGCCCTACTGGAAAGCCTGTTGTCCTGGAGCGTCGTAAGGAGTTTATGGCTTCGGAAAATTCTTGGTTTCCGGCTATCTGGCGGACAATGCGTCCAAAACTCCTTACCCGACTACACGCAGACGCCTGACCCATATGCAAATGATGCGAGCTGTGGAAGTAGGCTAAGAAAAAGAGGAAAAAATTCATTTTCAGATGGAGATACCGGATGTCCTTGCAAGGCGCAAGGTAAAGTTTTACGTCAGGATACTAGCTGAATTCAGAGTGATCAGATATATAGGTATTTTCAGGCGCCTGGAGCAGCTGGAGCGACGTGGCGGCTTGCCCGGAGCCTACAAAATGGTGGCGTGGAACCCCGACGGCAGCTTTTCAAAGTAGAGGAGCTGCATTTAATCGATGTGGTGGATGCCAACAAAAATTACAAAGTCGAAGCTGCGAGAGCGAATTTCGTGGATGTTTGTGCACGTGGGTTTTTCGTCTCTCTCCCTATCTCGCCCTCTCTTTCTCTCTCTATATCTCTCTCTCTCTCTTTCTCTCTCTGTAAAAATATGCTAGGACCATTTAGTGGCACTTACCTGCGATGGGTCCCCTGCAACATTCAAACCTGTTACTTCCCCACCTTGTCGTGCTGCCCGAATATGGCCGCCACGGTCCTACAAGTCACGAATGCGACTATTAACTCAACATTCAATGCGGTAAGTCTCTGGTTTTGTATCGAACCATTAAATGATGCATAGTGCTGGGACTCGAGACCGCGAAGCTTGATGATAGATGTTGATGTCAGCTCAATCAGTGTTGACAATGGCTCCGAGAATAAGATTTGCTGGCCACCAACGGTTAGTATGCTTTTGCTAGCAAAAGTCAAAATTAGACACCTACGACGACCACAACAGCGACGACTAGGACGACGACTACGACGACGACAACTACAACAACAACGACTACTACTACAACGACTACAACAGCTACGACCACTGCAACGACGACGACGACGACAACTACAACAACAACGACGACTACTACAACGACTACAACAACTACGACCACTACAACGACGACGACGACGACAACTACAACAACAACGACGACTACTACAACGACTACAACAACTACGACCACTACAACGACGACGACGACGACAACTACAACAACAACGACTACTACTACAACGTCGACGACGACAACAACGACAACGACAACTACTACAACGAGTACAACAACTACGACAACTACAACGACGACGACTACAACAACTACGACCACTACCACGACGACGACGACGACTACAACAACACAGACCACAACAACAAGTACAACCACTACTAGCACCACGACAGGTAGTACCACGACAACTACAACGAGTACTACCACAACGACAACGACCAGCACTACGACAGCGAGCACAACCACAACGAGTACCTCCACGACCAGTAGTACCACGACTACAACCAGCACTACCACAGCGAGTACTACAACGACAACTTCAAGCACAACCACGCGCACCACCACGACTACAACAACTAGCACCACAACGACAACTACCACGACAAGCACCACAACAAGCACTACTACCACCGCAAGCACGACCACGACCACCACTACGACTACAACCACCACGGCAAGCACCACAACTCCTCCGACGACAACGGTAGGCTCTTTTCCTAGGCTCAACGCACTTTACGGCCGATTTTAGCGCCGTGCCTTCACGCCCGTCACTTTCGTGCCACCTCCCGGAAGTTGGTCTTTCCCACTCGTCAAAATATTTATGTTTTTAGCGCCATGCCAATGTGTCTTCCCAAGTGAAATCGATCCCACAACACATGAGATAAAGACGCGAAAGAAGCGTGATGACGGGACGGCATTTGACCAGTGTGTTTCGCTAATAAGTTAAAGCAAATCTAGGAACTGCTACAACCCGTATAACATGACGCTGAAGTGCACGGCTGACTCTAATTTGCTGACCGAGATGATACTTTATGATAAGGTAAACGGAAGCGGAGAGAGAGGGGGAGAGAGAATGGAAGAGAGAGAGAGAGAGACAGAGAGAAAGACAGAGAGAGAGAGAAACTGAGAGAGAGAAACTGAGAGAGAGAGAAAGTGAGAGAGATAGAGATAGTCGAGACAATACGTATTTTCTAGGACTTTAACGTCATCCGGAAAACGCCGTACTGCACTGACGATGATGTTAATGCCGTCCTGACTTGCCGGCGAGCCAACGGGCAGGAAAATTGGTTTATCGTGGAACCGGTAGGAGATGTTCCAGATTTTCGATGGGATTTTGAATCCAGGAGCATCTAATTGTGCGCTACTTCTCATGCGACATCAAGGGTGTTGCAAATTGTTCGTCGAGCTCAACAAGTCCAGCGGGAAATGGAACTACGACAACGACGCACGTTACTGATACGATGGCCACGTCACCTACCACTACTCCGACTACACCAAGCACTACTACTTCAACGCGAACTACCGCTACAACGAGCACTTCCACAAGCAACCCGACGAATGACACTACCGCGTCCGCTACTACCCCTGCCGGCCCTCCTACGACTACGGTACACCCCGTTTACTACACCGCTTCAATGTTTAAAGGGGCTAAGAAGCCAAAATTTGCGTGCTCGGGGATCAAAACTATTACTCAAACACAGATGGGGTGCGCCTAAAAGTACCGAAAAGCCGATTTCTTGCCAAAAATGGCCAATTAGTTGGATCGTTTAGGGCGTTTAGTTTAGGTTTAGGTCGACGCGTTTAGGCAACCAACATTCTTACATCTGATTGTTCTGTAAAACAAAATATTTTTAGCGCCGTGCCTTCCCGCCCATCACCTTTGTACCACCGCCTGGAAGTATTTTTCGATCACCAAAAGTTTATTTTTTTAATTTTAGCTCCCTGCCGATGTGTGTTGCCCAGCGAGCTCAATCCCGATACATTGGAGCTCAAGGCCCGGAGGAAGCGCGAAGGGACGGCGTTTGATCAGTTGGTTTTACTACTTCAAAACTAGAGGAATTTAAGGAACTGCTACAACCCATATAACATGACGCTGAAGTGCACGGCTGACATTGATCTAATGACCCAAATGATACTTTATGATAAGGTTGTAAGGGGAGAAGGGGAGAGAGAGAGAGTGAGAGAGAGTGAGAGTGAGTGTGAGAGAGTGAGTTAGAGAGAGAGGGAGAAGGAGGAACAGACAGAGCAAAAGAGAAATACACGACATTTGATTTATTCTTAGGATTTCAACATCATCCGTAATACGACATATTGCACTAACGATGACGTCAATGCCCCGCTGACTTGCCGGAGAGCCATCGGCCCGGAAAATTGGTTTATCGTGGAACCGGTAGGACACATTTAGATTTTAGAATGGTGTTTGAATTCAGGAGCACCAAATTGTTCGCTACTTCTCGTGCAAGATTCTGGGTGTTGGTAGTTGCTCAGCGGCCGGCTCAACGGTGAGTTGGATTTGGAACAAGATATTTCACAGGCAAAAAGGAGGCCAATTTTCATCGATTCTGCTGCTACCTGAGCAGAATACGGCTTTAAAGGTCACAACTCTTGTGACGACTACCACGGCCTCTACAACAGCCAAAGCGACGTTTTCCGCAAGTGCAAGTACAGCAACTGCGACAACTTCGACGACTTCGACAAGTACGCCAAGTACTGCAAGTACAACCACTACTGTTTCCACTGCCAGCACTACGGTATTTCCACCTGTTGTTGGAATTTCTGAAGTTTAGCGTCGAGCCTTCTCTCCAATCACCTACGTCCCAACGCCTCCTTACAGTAAGGTTATGTCAATTTTCAAAAGCTAGAGCTTTCAGATATGTGCAGCTGTGTATGGCCAAGCCAGATCGACTCCAAAACGCTGCAGGCTAATGGGTAAACTAATTCATCGTGATGGTGACGCCAATTTGAATTTAGCGGAGCCAAGCGGAAACGGGACGTCGACTCGGCGCTTGTACAGTTGGTGCTCTGAGCCCTTATTTCCTCTCTTTGTCAAGTTTTTGTTATTCTCGGCGTTTGGCCACTGCCCTGAAAATTCCGTCACTGAAGCGTCTCCCCGCCCCCGTTAACTGTCCAGTACCGGCCCTTTAGGAACTGCGATAACCCAGTCTCTCCGACGCTGAAGTGCACCACGAACTTTAATGCGCTCGCCACGCATCGTTTCTATGACAAGGTAATGGTTTTTAGGCCTATGGAATGGTTTAGAACTTCAACGTCATCCGGACAGTAACATACTGTACTGAGGATGGAGCAGCCGTGCGGCTATATTGCCAACGGAAGGATGGGCCTGAGAACTGGTTCATATTGCAAGCGGTAGGTTGTTCTCTCTCTCCCTCTCTCTCACTCTCCCCTCTCTTTCACCCTCTCGCTTTCTCTCTCTCTGTCTCTCTCTCACTTTCTCTCTCTCTCTCAGTTTCTCTCCCTCTCCCTCTCTCTCTCTCTCTCTCTCTCTCTCTCTTTCTATCTCTCTCTCTCTCTCTCTCTCTCTCTCTCTACACAAAATCTATCCGCATTTCAGAAACAACAAGTGGTGCGCTACTTCTCTTGCGACTTCGCCGCTGATTCGAGTTGTCATTAATTTGTGGAATAAATATAATTTACTGTTAATTTTTGTATTTTTATTGGAATACCTTCAAAAACTTAATAGAACAATCGTTTTAATCACCGTTATAATAGGTGTCATTTGATCATCAATACCTTATAACGGTTTGAGCGTAGTGTCGGGCTTAGGCTTAGGGGGTCCAGAATGACATTCCGTAATAGTGTGGTAAGTACTTAACTGAACATTATTTGTACTGTTTCAACGTTTTCGACAGCCAAGCCTTCCGGCTAATCAATACCTACCAGGCACCTCTAACTATCAATTGTGCGAAAATGGCCTCAGGCAACATCTGCTGCCCGCAAGGACCATCACTCCCCTAAACAACTTTTCCTCACCATACACCTGGCCAATCGATTCATCCTCTACAACAAGTAAAATCGTGACAATTCACCTACAAATAAGCTATTTCGGCTAATGACCAAATTTTACATCGAAGGCTTAAACTTACCGCTGATCCAACGAATTCTACAAAAATGCGTTGCCGAGGAAAAGCTAAAGCTTCTGAAGGTAAGTTTTCTTGCATCTAGAATATCCCTTTAAGGCGAGTCAGGACTTGCGGACGCACGTATTCAAAAGCGGGCTGCTACCATATGAAATTAACAAGTTGACAGTGATTATGGAGACAGTCAAATTCACGGTAAGTTTAAGCTTTTTTCGACATTTTTTAGGCCGATTTGACATGGTAAATCTCAATAGCAAACTATTTTTTGACGCCTGATAAGCATTTTAGGAGGACGCGCTCCTCTACTGTTGTGATTTCCATGTGCGCATCCAGGCCGACAAAGAGGAAATTTACTTTGGTCGAAACCGCGTGCGCATTAATGGAAAGTACGGAAAATATAATTATTTTTTTGGAAATAGAATTCTAGAGCCGAATGGCCCTCACACCTACAAAGGCTCACCAAGCCACTATTGGACAAGGTCGTCCCAAAAATGAAGATACGGAAATTGTTTTTAAAAGGCATTTGGGTAAGTCGAATTTTGTATAAATGAGTTACGACCAATCGAGGCCGGAGAACTTGATAATTTATGCCATCGCGAAAACTTTCTGGGGAGCAACGACCGGCGAGGCGAGAACTTCTGTTGGCAAGATCGGTGCCGGATGCAAAATTGTTTTTACGAGCTGACGGAGGCGAATTTTCTGTCCCAGATGAGAGGGGTAAGCTAGACGCTTGGTTTTTCCCACTCATACTCACCTTCCTACTTTAAATTTGCGGCTGATTTCGACCCAAAAATAATTATCGATTTTGGAGCCCGTTTAACAAGGAGACGTTTTTCGTGTCCACAGAGTTTCGAAAGGAAACCAAGCCTATTTTATGCAGAATTTTGCGCTGATTAAAACCTCGTTTTCAGAATCTGCGAAACGACCAAAATAAGAAAGTTATGACGCTTTAAAGGGCAAAAAACGGCAAAAGTTGGCCTTTTTGGGCATTTCTCACACTTTAAAGCTACATAACTTTTGAAATATGGTCGTTTCGCAGATTCTGAAAAGTACGTTTTGATCAGCGAAAAATTTTGCATGAAATAGGCGTGGTCTCATTTTAAAACTCCGTGGACGCTAAAAACCGTCCTCTTGTAAGCTCTAAAACGCCATTTCCAGGCCAGCATCCTCGCCTTCATCGATTTCAATCGATTACGTCACAAAAAACTCATATCTCACCTTGATCTCACCGGCTTTTACCTGCCCGCCGAATGGACTTATCAAATCCTCGAATCTCTGTCAGGGATCCGAGCCCGAGTTGTTTGGCATGGGGTTAGTTAGTGTTACCTTAAATAACTAAATTTTAGAGCCATTTTGTACGAGTTTTAACACTTTTTCACATTCACAAAATTCCGGAGTACGATGTGGTAAGTTTCGCCACCTTAATTTTTCCGCATACATTTTTGTGATTTAGTTTAAAAACGCGCTCGGCGTCGAGCTGCTCCGATTTCAATGGAACGGCCAATTCCCGCCGCTGCCAAATGTGGAATATTTAACTTGGGATATCACGGAGTTGGATGCGTTGCTAGAGGTATGGATTTATTAAAAGTTGAGCTCTACACTTCTTGTATCCACAGTTTTCTTATTAATTAAGTATAATATTTCTTGATTCACGAAAATCGTATTATGTAATGCAATACCTGGTGCACTATAACCAAATTACACTAAAATCATTAACTGATAGTATATTGGTTATTAAAGAAAATTCATTCATTAATGTACGTTTGGCATATGAAATTAAATTGTTTTTATCTTACCGTATAATTGTTTACTTTAGCTCTACCGCCAGACCGGATTCCCTGCACAAGTGCAACGTCTCCAATTCGAGGTTCACCAATGGGCCGAGGCGGTGGCTTTCTCCGAGCCAGATCGTGTTTTTCAAGATATTTTGGTAAAATCACACATAAGAATTAACCTTCGCGTATTCAGCACAAATTGCGCGTTGCTCATTTTCCAGCCCTAAAAAGGCACGTCACGGAGGCCGGCCTAGACTCGAGCTGCAGGATTAAGGTACGGTCTGAATACGTCCTACGATTTAATTATCGACCCCGAAAATCAGGCTTTTTGTCCGCCGGACTACAGACTACAAACTACAAAATCCTGAGAATGGCCGATTTTCGATATTTTTCACCCCATTACAGGATTTCCTCAAAAAAAATCGGGGTTGTTTGTAATTTGTAGACTACAAACCACAAAAACTCGAAAATCAGGTTTCAATCCGGTACGTTAAATTCAAAATTGAATCACCATTGTTTAGTTCACCGAACTACAAGCGTACGCCTCGGAATGCCTGACCGCCCAGTATTTGAGGGGAAGGAATCATTTTCTCGAGCTTTCCATCCACCTCTCCAAGGAAATGCGGCATTACGCCATTAATTTATTGGTCGTGAACAAGTCTTTGAGAAAATGCTTCTAAATACCACCTTATTTCATTCAGCCTTCGATTATTATTTACGAACTTTGGAATTTGTTTATTTACGCAGAACATTATGTCTATGGAAAGAAAGACAAAAATAAAACATTAAATATTTAAAAAATTGTAAAATTTCCAAAAAACGGCACTCAATAATTCTCGTGTAGCGCTAACGCAAGTAATCAAAAATAATTGACGCGGGGAGATTTATAGATAATGCGGCGGTTGGTCAGGAAATAATTTCCAAGACTGCCGGCTCGGGGAGTGGAAATTATTAAGTTTAAGTGGAAACAACATAACGGTTCTCTCTCTCTTCCTCTCTCTCTCTCTCTCTCTCTCTCTCTCTCTCTCTCTCTCTCTTTCTTTCTCTCTTTATCTAAGCGCCGTCCGACTCTCACTGCTCGCGTTTTCACAGTTTGGTTTGTAAGTTCAATTATCATAATACCTGGCTAATTACAGCCTACGCCTACGAGCTAAATGCTAATTACTTTTTAGAGCTTTCCACCGCTTAGTTGACTCTAACGTTTATAACTTCGGATATACTTGACTTCAATCTTGACATCGCGACATCACAAAAATCAAACTTTCACACCTGAACTTGAGAACCTAGGCATCCAAAGCACACACATGCGCATACTCTGCATTTTGCCTTTTCATTGAGGGGCCCAAGAAGAACGGCAAAAACGTGTGTGGGGGATACATCAAATAAGACCAATTATGGGCCGGGACCGATGGGATTCCGAACGCCCCCATTTTGCGCGAGCCTTATTTCGGGCTACTGTTTTTGGAATTCAGCTGTTACATGCAGACACTTTTATCGAGTTGCAATAAAGATTAGTTCCATAATTCAGAGCAGGAATTACTGTAATCATCTCGAAAAAATTTATTAAAGCTTCTAAAATATCTTATTTTGTCTTTTCCCATCTCTTTCTCTCTCTCTCACTCTCTCTTTCTCTCGCTCTCTCTTTCATATTGCCAAAATGGTTTGATTTAAATGAAATGAATGAAATGCATCTTTTTTATTAAAAAAGTTTTTCCACTGCGGTCTACTGTTGATGCGCGTTTTTTGGTTAGAAAATTACGGTGATTTACCCCAATTTTGATAAACGAGCAGTGTTTCTTTGGTCTTCGGTTTAATATTACACGCATTCCAATCTTAATATGTAAATTCATGGTTTTCCGAATCTAAGGAACACGTCGAATTCAATTTGCATCTAAAACAAAAATTAACAGCCCTTCAAAGGCGCTACCGCTAATTAAAAGCCGCTCCAAACAACCTGCACCAGCTGTAAATTTCTTAAAATGTGTTGGATGCCACGAATTATTTGCGTATTCGTGGCCCTGTTGGCCGCGCCGTGTGTGGGTGGTCATTTTCTGCGTGGGCTGCGCTGCTCGTTCTCCTCCCCGGCCCCCGTTCTCTTGCCTCATTTCTCCGGTGGATTTTCGCATTTTCACGGTGTAGAAGATGGATGCACATCAATTCCGGCGATGCCCTCACCGCGGCCACACGGGGGTTAGGTTAGAATAGCTTCATCCCCCGCCCCGGATGGGTTTTGCGACGTTGACGTTGTTTACGTGGGTCTGGGAGTCATCTTTATGATTATCGCTAAACTAAGATACTTCCTCAATTGGCTGAAAAACTGATTATATTTGTTTTTTTTATTTAGCTTTTACCAATAAAAATCTTTTAAATTTCAAATAACGCCCGGTTTCTTCTCTCTATACCTTCGGTCGCTCGCGCTCTGTCTTTCACTCTCTCTCTCTCTCTCTCTATCGCTCTCGCTCTCGCTGTCTCTCTCTCTCTCTCTCGCTCTTTCTCTCGCTGTCTCTTTGGTAGCTTGATTCAAATATTTTTCATAACTATCTTGAGAATCCCTTCGGACATGTTCAAGAAACTAGAACACCCCCTGCGAGAAACTTTTTGAAAAACGATTTCCGGCTCTGGCATACCCTCGAACGAACGAACGAACATAATACTTTCATAACGACTTCCACTACTCGCCAGCCCTGCAAAGTTATTCCTTTTTTGGCTGAGATCGAAGAACGGTTCCGATTTGGCTCCTCATCCGCCTAGAATTGTTGTTGTAGCCGGTTGCCAATTTTGCCACCCCGCAACTCGGCGTTTGGGCCAGCAGTTTTTACCCGAAATCCACTCCACTGGAGGCATGTTTTTTGTAGCCAATACGGACGGCAGCGTTGCCTAAGCCGGTTTTTGGCCATTATCAAATCGCAACATCTTTTCTTGTTCCCAGAAGTTGTTCGGTGCTTGCTTCAGCGCATTTCCATTTCTCGAAGCAATGCTAAGATAAAAATTTTTAGCACGATGCGAAATCAGGCGAAAATCGCTCGTCGCCGCGCCATCATCGAGGAGCGGCTGCGCTACTCGGATGACAGTTATGTCATCTGGGCCAACGCCCAGAATTTGGAGGTTAAGTTATGGTCATTGCGCGACTTGGAGATGTGTTGGAAAAAGTGTAAATTAAGGGTAAGCTTTCGGGTGCATTTCTTGTTGTTGTTTGTTTTGTTTTTGGTACCATAATACTAGTATATTCTACATTCCTCCACTATTTAAATGTCAATTTCGGTAAAAAATGCTAAAAATAAATTTGCGTAAATAATTAATTAATTTAAATAATTTAAATCCTCAGTTCTTAATTGGCTGGGCAGAAATGCTTTAGCTAACGTTTAGCTAAATTATTTCATACTCTTCCAGCCTCGAGGCAACAACACAACCCTTCGAAGATCTTTGCGAATCTGGAAGCCTGTAAGTGTTCCAGTATCTTTAAAATGCCGTTTTTTAGAGATTCCAAGTTCTCGTCGACTGGCTGGCCGCCAATATGAAAGACGAGGTAGCGTTGGATTACAATTTGAAATCTCGTTATAATTTAGGCCTTCTGGAGCCCCAGGCCGCGGCGTAGTCAGAAGAACCGGAAAGGCAAGTGCGGGAAGAGCATGAACATCTCTGCTCAATGCACCGCAAAGCCTACCGTACCCCGGGATACGTCAATATATAAAGAAAATAAGCCACCATCACCCTCAAATAATAACCTTCAATTTGTTGTGCAGCAATTTTCCCTCCTTGATTTATGAATCGACGTGAATTGCCGACGAATCTCATTACCCTTTACTGAAATTGATGAGCGCTGGTCGGTTTTCCTCGTTTTTCGCTCCTGTACGCTACCGTATGAAGCTCGCTGCCGATACTGTCGCCAATAAAGACATTTCATTGTAAAATTTTGGATAGAAAGCTAGAGAGGAAGAGAGAGAGTGAGAGAGTGGGAGAGAGCCAGAGATGGAGAGAGTCCGGAGATGCTGCTTTGCTTACTTAGGATTACATTTAATACTTACTCTCGAAGACCAAAAACAGGATTTGTCCGTATTAGCTTCAGCATATTTTTGTTCTTATTCTCGGCATCCGCCCAATACGCATATCTTGTGTATGTTCCCTTGATAGATGAGCCCCGGTTTGGGGCCCATCCCAAGCGGGTTGGGTTGGCCACGAGGGCCCCCCCCCTCTCTTGGGGCCCGGGGGTGGTGGATGGGCAGAAACCGTGTCCCCTGGGAATTTTCATCCGAAACAAAAGCCCTTCGCCTTCCACTCACAACGCACCGCATATCCGGCTTCCGACTCAGCCGACGGCCATTATGTTTCGATGGGCTAGAAAGGACATGTTATATTTGTACTGTTTCTTATTTTTGCATTAATATAACATATCCTTATCTTTATCCGGGCCTTGCAATTCCCTTTAAAACACTCGTACCCTTGAAAGTAAAAATTTTTCCCCACTTGCCGACACACCTCAAGAAAAAATCCGTTTGCATCCCCGGGACCGCGGGCCCACTTACAGCTTCTCGTTCCCCTTTCGCAGGGCCCGGACCGAATTTCATTTCCGGTGTCTTTCCGCGTGTGTGTGTCGTCGAGACCCCGAATTTAGGGTGCAACGGCGAAGTCAGTTTCCGAAAACACGGACACGCCGCGCAGCGAGATGAGTGAGATCACGCTGTCGACCGGGGAGCGATATGGGAGTACTTATTTGGTAGGGTCTGCAAAAATCGGATAAAATTAGACACGAAATAGGAAATTGGAGAGAAATTTGATTTTGATGGACCTTTAAGCGCTTCAAGGCACTCGCAAGGCCAGCTTATAGATGTTCAAAGAGCTTTGCCGTACGCCACGCGACACGCAACGCGCGCCTGATTTTATTATGGATTGATTCATCCACAACTCTCGCCGGGCCCGCGATACGCAGCGCGGACGCACCGCTTGAGAACTTTTAAAAGACTGCTCTCCGTTACGCAATGCACATATCATTAGCTTTGTCGCGTGTCACGGCTGGAACGGAGAATCTCAGCCTAAAGGGGCGCGCATGTCATAATTCGCGTAGGCGCGGATTGAACCTAGGTCAAATAAGGAAAGGGTTACGGCCGAAAGTAATAGAACATCTTCATTGCGAAAAAAAGGCAAAATTTCTGAGAAAAACCGAAACGTTTTAGGGCCGAAAACGAATTTTTGAGCGCGGGGCGATTACATGTCGTAATGCCATGTAAAGCGCCCAATCCATCGATCTCAGTGATTTTCTGGACAGTTTTCATAATTAAAAAGGTTAGAATGGCTAAAATTCGATGAGGATTCAAGAGATAGCGACGAATTCAGGCGTTTTCATGCCTAAACAGAGGCAAAAGATAATGCTGCGCGGTTGCGTTGCTGAGGTACCTATTAGAATCAGGAATCAACGCGTGGGCCGCGGGATGGAATGGTCTGGAATCCATCACGAAAGAACAAGCGTTCGTGCCTAGACTTTCGCGGTCCTTTAAACCCCATTACCGACCTAAAATAAGTAAAATTCTGCTAGAAAATGGCTTCACAGCCTCTTAAGCCGTTAAAACCCTCGCCGCCAATTGTAGCCCCTTGTAACTGGCAGTAGTACGGAATAGAAAATTCTAATCTCACGTTCGGTGCGGCGGGTGAACGAGGGCCCTAGATGGGACTCATCTCCTCCCCTTACCCCCCACTAATTACAGCCCCTCCGAGACCCCCTCCACCGCTTTGGCCACCGGAGGATCCGTTCCAATCCATTTCCACCAACACCGACACCACACCCCAACCCCCATACTTTTCCAATTTCATTCCATTCCATCCGATTACTTGAGTGCGTGTTTTTCCGGAACCGAGATATCGAATATTCTAGTGTTTCTTTCCATATGTACAAGGTAAAATCTGGGATTTGTAGCTTGACGCCTGGCTTGCTAGACGCAATCCACGCATTAATGAAGGTGCATCCAAAGCGAGATGAGCGCTGGATGGGGCTCTTTCTCCTTTTAAAGCTAGTTAGTGATACATCCAGTTTTCTACCTTTTACCTAGCAAAAACTTTTAAAGGGCTGGGCAAGTCATAAATAAGGATGTTTTCGGCTATAGATTTTCAGCATGTTTGTTCGCGACGCAACGCGCACGACTTGTCCGCGCTCGCAAGGGATCGTAATCCATCACGCTGTGGAAGCACGTGCGTGTGCGTTGCGTATCGCGACATGGCAACATCTGTAGTGCAGCCATAGGAATCCGGGGTCCGGCCTTGCCCGCCCCTTTAACACAGCCTTCAAAGATTACATTTTTTTTAGTTGTCAGTCTAAGATTAAAATTTAGTTTGCCCCAATCAGATTGTTAGGGCCGCTAGCGCATTTTTTTTTGAAGTGTGAAAACATGCTTTCCCTTCTGCTAAACGCATTCATGAAAATTTTTGGTTGATTTTTTAATAAAACTAAATAATTTTTTGTTCTATTTATGAGTAATAGAGCTTTCAAAGGAAGCTAAAGGATCCTACCGCATCCTTCAAATCCGCAGATCCAACCACCCCATTTACCAGACAAGCCAGCTTTCACCAAGCCTTTCCCCTATACCCCCGAAAAACCAATCGGGGCGCGCCGTGCGTAACGTAAGCCGTTTAAGAATTTATTCAATTTGGGGGTGGGGTGGAGGTTGGGGGCACCCGGGGCCCAGGGGTGAAAGTGGGGAAGAAGAAGGCGTGGCAGGACCCCTAGCCCCCATTAGGCGTGTATAGAGAGGGTAATGTGTTGATGGGGTGTGGTGAGGGAGACAGCGTGACAAACGGGAACGAGAGAGAGAGAGAGAGAGAGAGAGAGAGAGAGAGACAAACAGATGGATAGACGAACAGACGGAGCGAGAATGGGTGACTGACCGGAAGGCATGTCTGACACTTTGGACCCGGGTAGTAGACACGCTTCGGATGGGATGAGAAGTGAGGAAAGGGTAGCGGATTGGTAATGAAAGCTAATTTATGACCTAAAGAGGAATTGAAAAAATTAAACGTAATGATTAGGCCTTTAAATTACCAAAAATTCCTCTGTTTTTGTTAACTTCAATCGCAGTCAGTAGCTGGGCTTTTTCCTGTTTATATAATTGACTTGAAGCGCCAAAATCGAAACGTATCCTGATTTTTTCACTTCATTAGGCTCCTTAAAGGGGCGTGTAAGGCATGGAAACATTTATTTGGCAGTAGATTGGGACTGGTCTTGCCGTGGCTGCGACACGCGTCGCGTGCGCCCCGCACCACATCCTGACCGACAAGCGCTCGCGTTGCGTGTCGCGTCAAAAAATTCCTCCACAATCTACAGCCAAAAAGATTTTTCGTTCCATAGTAGAAAATTCCGCTAAATGCCAGAAATAAAGAATTAGTCATTTTCAGCATTTTTGAAGGCGCTGCCGTACTCCAGATGACTACGGTAGATACGTTCTCGCTCCTTTTATTAAGCTACTTGAGAACATTCCATAAAAGACTAGATTCCCATTTCCCATTAATGCATAAGCATCAGAATTTTACTAACTGTAACCCTCTTTTGGTCGAAGTGGAAATTCCGTACGTGAGATAGCACATCTTGTGCAGAATTTTTTGCTGATTCCGAATCTGTTTTCAAAAGTGGCGGAACCCCTTAGATAAAAAACTTACCAGCGTTTTTAATACCCAAGATGCCACAAATCGCTTACTTTAAAACGTTCTAAAAATTCCGCAAAATACTTTTGGGAAGGAAAGAAAGGCATTTTCCGGAGTAAAAAAACGTGCATTTCAAATGGGCTACCTCACGAACCCGTAGCTCAAAATTTGCAAAATTTCGAAAATCGACAATCTTGGGCAAGGGTCCGCCAAAAAAACCTTTTTGCATATTTTGAGCTAGGGGTTCGTGCGGTAGCCCATTCGAAAGAGCACGTTTTTTTACCCCGGAAATTGGCTTACTTTCCTCCCAAAAGTATCTTACGGAATTTCTAGAACGTTTTAAAGTAAGCGATTTGTGGCATTTTGGGTATTAAAAGCGCTTGTAACTTTTTAATCTGAGGGGTTCCGCAACTTTTGAAAACAGATTTGAATCAGAAAAATTTGCACAAGATGTGCTATCTCACGTACGGAATTTCCACTTCGACCAAAAGAGGGTTACGGTAAGATACTCATAAGCGGAAGAACTCGAGCCTATCCTCCCACCCCCTTAAACAAATCAATTTTCCATTTCTGGGCCCTGTATGGGCCCCGTGGCCCATACCTGGCCCCGACCACCTGGCCCTAATTCGCGGGGTGGTGTTCTATTCGGAAGGCAGTACCCCTGGCAGGGGAGGGGGTACTGCCTAGAAGAGAAGCCTCGCAGAGACGCCCTCCTTGCCGTTGCAGAGTGTGGGCGGGCGGTCGATGGCCGAATCGATGAGCGAGAGCACGACGACCCGAGGGGAACACCCACAGCAGCCACAGCTGCACCACCACCACCACACCCCCGGCCATCCACTTCCCAACCTCAACACCACCAGCTCCATCACCAGCTACACGCATCCGATGAGCAGACCGGGCGGCCAGCAGACGACGAATTACTGCTGTGAATGTGCCGCGTCACAGGTAGTTTTTGGAATTTTTGGTTGGGAAGTGAGTCTCCTGAATTTATCTGGAGAATTCCCACGCTCATCAGAAATTTCTGGAGCTTTTTCGGGACGATTTTCCAAGGCGTACCATTATGAGTTTTCTCTCTAGTTTTCGATGTTGGAGGTGAATGCTCCATTTTTTGATTTTCAAATGAAAATTAGGATGTCTGCTATCACAAATTTGCATAGCTGTTTAGGAAAATGAGACTGAAGCAGTAAGTTTTTCGGAATAGGAATTCATACCTATACTGCCCGTATTCAGATTAAATTGCATTAATTCACCTTAAAATCATATTTTTGCCATTTTTGAGAAATAATGAAAAAAATGAGAATAAAAAACCTTTTCGTTTTTTTAAAGGAACTGGAGTAATAGAAAAGCTCTTTTTTCCAGCTCATTGATAAAAGTCTCAAGCGGCTAAAAAAAAACAATTTTTCGCATTAAAACTGATTTATTACAGTCCCGATGCTCGGCCGACACTTGTCCATGCGTCGCTTCTCGGCGGATGTGCGACGAACACTGCGAATCGGCCAGGTATGGGTTTAAAGGTATTAGAAAGCCCGAGAATCTATCCTCTTTATATTCTTGGTGTCGACAGCTAGGCAAGGGGCCAAAAACCCATTTATGCTAAATTTTTATCGTAGTTATCGATACCCAAACGCTTCATGGGTAGATTCACAAGGCTCCTGTCTATTACAACGGATTTCTCACCCCAATTTACGTCTATTTCCGGCTTCTATAGTCTTGGGCCCCAAAACCCCGAGGCGTTCCTCTCAACTTGAGTGCCCAGCCAAGTTAGGAAAAAGAGGGCTGCCTTTTCGCACGCTTCTCCTAATCCACCTGGCCAGCCGCGCCGTCTAGTCGCAAAATTGCGGGGTTGCGGCCATAAAAAATTAGATGGCCATCAATCAGGCTTTGGGAAATGCTGGAAAATGCTGAGTAAAAAGCTTCGACTAAGGCAACTTTTAAATTAAAAATTAAACACTAGTATTCGCTAAGTTTTACAGAAAAATATTTTGCTCTAGAAAAAAACGGATTTGTCGTGATTATTTAGGCTTTCCTGATTCTTTAAGGCCAAAAAAATTCCGTTTAGTTAATAAGAACTTCGAGTTCTCTTAGTAGCGCGTAAGACTATGCAAGAATTCCAGATATCGCGGCGACTGCTTGAATCAGGCCATCTGCAAGTGCTCGTGTGAGGTGGACCCGGCCAAGCCGGCGAAGAACGCGTGCAGCAAGAGCGAAAGGTTCGAAATTATCCTTCATCCCTGGGTAACCGCTTTTTTAGGTGTGACTGCCTTCGAATCAAAGAGGGTTGCTCGAAGCTTTGCGCCTGCAAGCAGATCTGCAAGAATAAGGTAGGTAAAGCCGGATTTCAAGTGATGTGGACCTTGTAATAGGTATTTAAGGCTTTTTCTACAAGTTAGAATCACTTAAAATTATTGTTGTTGCAGGAACAGCCCCTCAAGAAGATTCAAAAAGTCACAAAACCAGCCCAAGGTTGCAATTGTGCGAAGAGCAAGAAGCAGTGCGTGAAGAAGGAGTGCCCGTGTCGGAGCGTTTACGAATTTTGCTCATCTGCGTGGGTTTTTGCCGAACTATGCCGCTTGCTTTCTCTCCATCTCTTTCTCTTTCTCTCGCTCTCTCTCTTTGTCTCTCTCTCTCTCTCTCTCTCTCTCTCTCTCTCTCTCTCGCTCTCTCTCTCTCGCTTTCTCTTCTCGACTATCGCAACTTACCTCGATAGTGTCGGATTCTCATAGCTTGCGAGATTTTTATGCAAAAACCTGGCTGTAACCATCCCTTTGATTCCCATCTCCTATCCACCAGCAACCCCAAAATCGTTCCAAATAGCCTCGGGCCCTTTGCCAAAACCCTCTTCAAAAAAACAAGCACACGGAAATTGGGTCCGGGGCGCTCGCCAGTCAATTTGCGCCCTGCTCGGAATTTCTCCCGAGATTCGCCGGAATGCCCGAAATGGGCCGCCCGCAATTCTCCAGATTTCGGGGTGGTGATTGAGTGGGAGAATTGGGGCGATCGGCCTTTATGCGGTCGGGCGCCCTGGGTCCTATCCGATGACATCCTCCCATCTAAGGCCCAATATCCCGGCCGGGCCCGGGGCCAAGGGATCCGGTTTGTGAGCCCACTGGGGGCAAATATGAGAAAGCGGCGAAAATGGAGATCAAGATGGATTTGAATACAGAATCTGGAAGTCTCTTTGAAATTCAGAAAAATCCGCAATTGACTTGATTTTGTCAGGCCTTAGTTTTCCATATACTACAGCCTCAAAGCTGGCAAATTTTCACGTTACGAAATCAAATTACGCTCCTGTCCTCGTTACGGTTTTTGGCCCTCATAAATGTCAAAAATTGAAACGATAAGAGCCATTCATTGCGCTGGCGAGTAAGTCTCACAGGCCCCCTGCCGCTACCCGACCCCATGGCCGCCATAGCTCAGTTGGTTAGAGCGTGGGTCTAATAAGCCCAAGGTCGCAGGTTCGACCCCTGCTGGCGGCAAATTTTTTGCTTTTTGGGCTTTAGGCATGTTGTTGAGGGTGAGCCGGTTTTTTGGGTTGCGAATAATGTTTTTTTAGCAAAAAAAAGCTAGGTTTTTATCCCGTTGATCACCGCTTTTAACGCGAGAGCCACTACGCTTGCGAATTGGAAAACTTTGCGCGAAAGCGAAAACTATTAAATTTTTCAAGTCTTTTTATTTCGATCCTAAATTCTTTAATACGGCTACCAACGCTTCGATTTTCATCGATTACGATAAAATCCACGCCCACGCTTTAGACTTCCTAAAATCCGGAACTCCTCCTAAATTCGCAGTTTCCAATCTCTTGACCACTGCCAACCCATTTGCCAGTCAATTCTGAAAATCCGCCAGCCATCCGGGTGAGCGTGTGTGTTCATTGGAGCAGCGGGGAATGCGGGCCATTGTCCCGGGTGTTCGGCCCTTTCAAGGGTCCCTTCTCGGCAGGGCCCCCTACCCCAGCCAAGTGCCAGCTGTGCTCTCGGCTAGGGAGGGCTAGGGAACACAGGAACCACCGGACACACGCACATTATAATTAGCACCACCTCGCCCGTCCGAACGAGGCCCCCTCGGGACCAAAACAGCGTGAGCCGCGTCAGAATTGGGATTGGCTGCCCACGGGGGGATTTCGGACGGATCAAGGGCACCTGGGCTTCACCTGGACCAATGGGGGACCCAGGCTGGCATGAAATCAGGGGGGGGGGGGGTTTCGAAGGGAAAATTAGCTATGATATTCGCAAATTTGATCTTTTTGTGGTGGTCTAGAGCCAGAGACTGTCAAATTTTTTCCAGGGACATTTTGGTTGAGGAAAATGAAGCCCGAAAGCGTGACCAGCATGAGCTTTTAAATACCCATGCACTAGCCCTTCCGGGTGTTTGCGATAAAAATGACGTAAAAAGCATCGAAACCTGGCTTTTCCTTTACTAAAAACCAACTTTCTCTTCGACAACCAGAAGAAAAAATGAAAACCAATAACTCTCTTTCTCGTGAGTCGGTTCAATTCAAAATGAGAACCTTGCCTGCCCTGTATCAAAACTGAACCGCGAACATGAGCCAAAACCCACAAAAAGCAAAACAATTTGCCGCCAGCAGGGGTCGAACCTGCGACCTTGGGCTTATTAGACCCACGCTCTAACCAACTGAGCTATGGCGGCTCTGTGGGAGGGGGGAACGGGAGGTGTCATCACGAAAGGGAAGCCCCCAGGGTTGTGGTACCAACGGGTCGGGATCCGCACAGACGACCGCTCCGGTATTGCTATGGCGCGCCCTTTCCACCGTAACCCCCGGAGCCGCCCCCCCGCCCCTATCGCGTTTTCCAGCCAACTTTCCCCTAACCTAATAGTGAAAAAGAGAATAATAGAGTGTAATAATAATAATAATGATTATTAGAAGGGGTTTTATTGAAATCGCTGTAATGGGAAGCCAGCCTTGCGGTTTTTTTGCAGTCGTTCCAGCTAAAAGTACGTCGTTTCATCACAATCTTCGCGCCTAGGGTTCAACAGGCTGCTTCTTTTTCTATCGATAGTAAGTTAGTTAAATTAAAATTGTCGATAACGCTTTTGGAAGGAGGAGGATGTCGATGGAGCCGGAAACTGGAAAGTTAAATCGATTGATGATTTGTCTTCGTGAATAGTAATATCTTTGACCTAGCTTTGTAATTGTATTAAAGATACGCGGGGGTTTTCTGCGAGGTTTTTCTTTCTGAATTCAACGAGTTAGATTTCTTTGCTGGCTGTGTAAGGATTTGGGTATGAAGCTCAGACTTGAAAGCGTCGGCAACCGAACCGATTGAACGCCCGCCTTGGAATATTCTAACTATTTTCACCCAGTAAGCTATCATCAGGGCGAACTCGTATATCTTTTCATGCTGTTCTGCTATTGTAAAGTAACAGTGCGATCATCGATGATGCAGCTGCTACGCCCTAAATCATCGCAGAGTCCTAGCTGAAAAACGCAGCACACGCCATCGATACTGCTGCATGACGTCATTGAGTAACCTATCACGGATGTTATCACGCACTGTTAACATTTCAGTTTAGGGCTCCATCGACATCTTCGCATTGCCTACAGCGTTATCGACAATTGCCTACAGCGTTATCGCATTGCCTACAGCGTTATCGACAATTTGAGATAGAATGTTGAAAAAAAAAGTACATTTAGCTGGAACGACCGCAAAAAACCTCAAGACTGGTTTCCCTTTACAGCGATTTCAATAAAACCCCTTCTAATAACCATTATTATTATTATTCCACTCTATTATTCCCTTTTTCACTATTAGGTTAGGGGAAAGTTGGCTGGAAAATGCGATAGGGGCGGGGGAGCGGCTCCGGGGGTTACGGTGGAAAGGGCGCGCCATAGCAATACCGGAGCGGTCGTCTGTGCGGATCCCGACCCGTGTGGTACCAGGCCCCCAACTGCCTGTCAATAACTTGCCGATTTTCAGATGCAAATGCTGTGGCGATTGCACAAACGGACCGTCGAAATTCCATGTGCCGAAACACGTGCAGAATTGCTTCCTGGAGCACAAGCATGAGAGCAGCGGGTTGATAGTCACATTAATAGGTGGGTGGCTTTTAGAGCTGCCAAATTTCACGACTTGTACCAAATGAGTCATACTCTCAGAGGCTTTTGCGTTGATTCTATAAGTTATTTTTCATGGTCAGTTATCGGAATGCAAACGAATGTTTCGAGAAAACAAAAAACTATTGATGAAAAGTTAGTGAAGCTCTTCGATGCTATTAGAAAGCACAAAGTCAACTCTCAAAGTCTGTTAGGGAAAGTTTGTCGTTTTCCGAGGCAAAAGAATTACTGGCCTTGAGAATTTGAAGGTTTGATGTTTAATTAAATCAATTAAAATAGGCTTTGAAAGATTGAAATTTAACTTTTTGCAAGGGTCAGCGTGCCGAGATCATTGAAAAAGCTGCCGAAGCACAAACTTGTATAATGGTAGCACTGTTTTTAGGAGAAGACTACATCTATAGAGGCGATTTCTACCACGAATCAAAAAGTGAGCCCCACGTCGAGGAGCAACTTGTAGCAGCAATTTACGATTTAATCTCGAAATACAAGGTTTTACAGCTATTTGTAAAAACCACAGATTTTTAGGTCGACCTCTACGAAATCGTCATCTTCGTCTCAAAATCCCCGTGCTTTCACCAGGACTGCGACCCGAAATGCGAAGTGATAGACGAGTGCAAGAGCAACAAAGCTTGTGCGAAATTGCTGGGATTGTTGTTGTCGAAGGTGTGTAACTCTAAATTCCATATTAAATTTTGTAATTTAGGTCCGAAAAGAGTTGAGCAAAGTGGACGTGAAGATGACGGTCAAATTTTTGTATCCACACCTGAATCGGGGAGATTTGTACACGAAGCAAGGAATTTTGTGTATGCTGCAGGCTGGAATTAAGGTAAGTACAAAAGCTGGATGAATTTGTTGCTCCCAATGGCATAATTTTGTGTATATAGACAACCTATGCTACAAGCTAATTTTTTTACGAAATACACTGACGTTATTAGTGGAGCATGTTCAGGAAAATATACATTCGGACCCATTAAATCGACGTATCTAGCAAAAAACGGCATTAGAATACCTGAAATGGACACCATAAAGGGATAAGGATGGCCCAGTAGATCAGAACTCATTTGTAATTGGCAACCGGCCAACCGGAAACGCTAATTCAAGAAAAATGGGCACAGAGTGGGCGGTGCAGGAGGAAACAGAGGAGATTTATGCTAATTTTACTAATCCTCGTTTAATGCTACTTTTTCCTGGGCCTTCCTGATCTTTTTAAACCACTTCATTCCTTGAAAAACTTATTTTCCTACATGGAAAATGATTTTCCAGGTCGAGCCTCTCCTGATGAAAGACTGGTCAGCAATAATGGATTGGTCACCCCATGTCGATCACAAGGGAGAATATTTGAAGATGTGGAATGATCATAACCTAGATAAGGTATGTTAGGCAAAGCCCGAATGATAATTGACAATAATTAAATCTATTGTTTACAAAAATTAGGTAGAAAAGCAGAACATTTACTTATTTTTAGGCCGTCGCACAATCCCAATCGTTTATCAACGAATGCCGAAGAGCGCTGGGACTCTCTATGAAATTCTGGGTCGCTGAGATTCACGAAATCGTCAAGAATGCTATTTTGCACTATTCTGAGATACGGGTGAAGTGCGGGGAGTTGAACGACGCGTTGAAACAGGTGAGAATTTTTGGGCCGTTGTGTCGAATTCTGGAATCTTTCTCTAAATTTCCGGACGTTACGTTGTTTTATTCCGATTCTATAGGCTAGGGCGAACATTTTGGTACACTTTACAGCCTGGTAGGTCAAGAGAGCGTCCTTAGAGAGACAAAACTAGGAAGTTGCGGACGATCAAAATTTAACCCCAATTTGCATTTTCAGCTCGACCTCACCGCCACCCCGCACAAAATCCGGTCGACCCCCTCAAAACGTAGAAGCTTCATCGACATGCATGAGCTACGCGACAAGCTGTTGATGCGCTCCTCCACCCACGACCAGAAGAAGAATGGCTCGAACATGTCGGTGGCCAGGTACCCCGCTTTCGCTTTCTTTGCACACTCTGTTACTGTCGTTTCGTGGAAAACCATGATATTCTACCCAATAACGCATTCTTTTTATTCTACACCTTTTCTGCACCCAAAAACAGCATAACTTTTAAAAATGACCGAGTCACTTTTCTATGATTACGCTAAAAAATTGAGCCGGTTTTTGAAATTTTTGAATTTTTGATGAATTTTCGCAAGCGACCGCCAATCTTCGAAACAACATTTCCTTTTCCAGCTTTCTTACCGCGTCGGCATTTTTTTTTGGTTGTTGTCGTGTGCAGTGCGCTTTTTTTGATTCGTCGAAGCGAGATTGAAAATGTCTATTTTCGCTCGGTACGCCGGCGAAAACAATCAAAACTGTACCTCGGCGATGAATCAATCGCTAAGCGTGTTGTCAGGTCGAAAACCTGCTCTGGTTGCCGTAACGTTTCCAATTTTGAATTTTTTTCAGTGACGACGCGCACGCGCAAGCGATGGTAGCCTCATTTTGCGGGCGGTCGTTTGACGACTCGGAGACGAACGAGATTGCGCAGCGGATCCGACGAGCTACGGCCAACATTAATGTCGAGATCGAGACTTTGCTGGAGTTTTTAACGCACAAGGGCGCCATTGCCTAGGAAACGCATGTTTTAAAGGGCTTGTGAAGGTAAAAAAGATTAATATACAAGTTATGATGGGATCCAGAAGCTTAAATATGCAATTTTACGACCCCTATCTTTTGAATTTTGCCTTCACAATCCCTTCAAAGATTAGGAAACGAGATTATGACAATATTTTCATAAGTATCCAACCTCAGCTTTACAGTACAGTATTATGAAACGGTATAGGCACCCATTAATGCGCAAATGCCGTCGTGGAATTTCAGCTTTTTGCCCTCTTTTTGCCCCCGAATCCTTTTCCGTGTCTTACCTAGCTTCTACGCCCTCCTCTCTGCCTCGCTTTTTGTGATTATTTTTCCCCGGATTAGATTTGAATGTCTCTTGTTTTTTGGCGTTTTCTAAATTGTTCAGTTTACACGCCTTAATGAGCCTCCAAATCGTTTCCATGCTTCCCGAACCCTTGAATTTCTCACGCATTTTCCTACGAGCACTGCCATGACCTACGCAATGATCTCAACGTTTTTTAGTCATCGGATTTCGATTAATATGCATTATAAATCTCATTAATTATTCAAGAGTGAAAATAAAATATTTTCCCCGTATTCACGCTTTTCCATGACTTTTTCACAGGTCGTAACATCCCCCAAAATTACCGGAAATGAAAACAACAATATTTGGTACAGATTTTCTTCCGCCAGACGCCCCAGCAACCAAAAAAAAACAAACGCTTTTGAAAATTGCGGGTTTCCCGATTTTACGATCAACCCTGATAGGACCATTGTAAAGTGCAGACAAAGATACGGTAGTAGTAACCCAAATTACAGGCCAACAGCTTGAACTTGGAGGAAAATGGTGTTTATTCGCAACCCGTAATTTTGACGTCACGTCGCCGCGGAAACGACACTTTGTCGCTTCTAGCTCATTACATATAAAGCTATAGATCCTGATGTTAAGTTGGAATTAGAAAAAAAAAGAAGAAAAAGTGATTGTTGCTCGAAGCCATGTGTCGTCAGCTTTTTGTTGGTGGCTTCCGAGATCAGCGGACCGGGGCGGCAAGTTTTACTGACGTGATCGGGGCCACTTTTTCTGGGATTTGGGTCATGGAGTAGTTCTAAATTTTGTGATGTAATTCAGAGGTTGGGGTTAGGCTTAGGCTTAGGTCTGGGCTTGGGCGTAGGCTTAGGCTTAGGCTTAGGCTTAGATGAGAGGTTGGGGAAGGCTTACTAGGGAGGTATCTGAACTCGGCATCGAGTTTTGCGAAGCCATATACACCATTCGACGCGCCTTGACGAGAGGATTTCGAATATGAAATAAAATCAACCAGAGCCTAAAACCGTAAAAAGTTATGAGCATTTTAAGTTTTAGCAAATTTTGCCACCCGGGGGGGAAGAGGCCTTCCCGTGCCCCCTCCTGGCAGGAGGGCGTGGCCTAGAGGTAAGTCGCTAGGCTCTCAACTTTTTTTCTTGGCGCATAGCATAAGTTCGATTCCTCCGTCATTTTATCTTTTTGCTTTTTGCTTTTTATTATTTTTTTATTGTTTTATAACGTCTTACATGTTAAAATATTCTGTTCTACCACAGAAATCAGAGCTAACTGATATCGAACATAAAAAAACAAGATAAAAACTTATAGTCAGAAATTATCAAATATTGTGTTTTTTTCAACCAGAAAAGTATAATGCTATTAGCACCTACCGACTTACGAATCATCAAAGGACGCATGGACACAAGAAGTGATAAAGTAAGGACAACAGGTTCCGCTATATTCCTTTATTCAGGTCCACGCCGCAGCTAGGCTTGACGCATAGGCCAGCCAGTCTCTCTTTGTGCCATACCCCCCTCTCCTAGCGGCGAGCCGCTAACCGAACCAATAAAAACGAATACTTTACAAATTGTTTCAGGATGGAGACGTTCGACCCGGGACAAATCTTGCTACATCTCCAGAACATTTACCCGCTCTCCAAGGGGCAAGTACCGTTGAACAGAAAAGAAACAAAGATCTTCAAAGTCATCAAGCTTCTTTTGAACCCTGGAAAATATGAAATGGAGGAGGAGAAATTGTTTCACTTTGACGAGTCACAAAGTGAACTCCCTTTGTGGGACGAAAAGGTGCGGGTTTTTTTTATCTTTTAAAAGTAAATTTAGGATCTGGACCAAAACACGAAGTTGAAGCCGCCAAGTGATGAGAAAAGGATGCGCTTCGGAAACGCCTATAAGACCAAGGCTCAAGTCGACAAGGCTCTTGCCTATTATGAAAGTGCCGAAGACGGTCGGCGTTCCCTATCCAGTATGTCAAGCAGGTTCACTTGGCTTCAAAATAACCGGCATTACTTGGACAAAATACTAAAATACAAGGAAACGGGTGAATTCCATATAACGCGAATCGACGCCCTAAATCTACTCGAAAGCCGAGTTGTCGAAGGTTTGCAAGAGATGTATAATAGTGGCGCAGAAATACACGAGGATAGTATCATTGAGCTGGGACGAAAGCATAACCACGAGCTCGAACTCTTCTCGAATTTTACGGCTTCCAAGACTTGGATAAAGAAGATAAAAGCGACTGCCGGCCTGGTTTCACGAAAGATTACAAAACTGGTCACTGTGAAAAATCTACGAGACTCGGAGCAGCTCAAGGACTCGGCTGAAAAGTTTATTGAAATGGCGAAAAAGAAGATCCTCGACTATCATCCTTCAGAAGTTATCAACTGTGATCAATCCGGTTTCCTGAAAGAATTGGTTTCGAAACGCACGCTTGCCCGGAAGGGTAGTAAGAAAGTCGAGGTGGCTCTACAAAGCATTTCCGGAAATACGCATTCCTATACGATTTTTCCGATGCTCACGCTGGGTGGTTCTTTGGTCGGCCCGCTGTTCGTCGTGCTTCAGGAGCCCACGGGTGCCTTCCCAACTAACAGGCCGATATTCCAGGCACGGAATCTAGTTGTCTGTCCCTCGAAATCTCACATAATGGGGTCAGTGCTTCTGGAAAAATGGCTAGAAGAAGTGGTTGAGCAGTACGCTCCCAAGAAATGCCTGATGTTGGTCGATAGTTGGCCACTCTTCAAAAAACACGATTCGATGCGCGAAAAGCTTTCGGCGGACAAGGAGATTGAATTTATCAACATACCAGCCGGGTGCACAGGAACGACACAACCGCTGGATATACTGTTCTTCGGACCATTGAAAGTGGTTGTACGCCGAATCCATCGCCATGTGAGAGCGAACGGAATCGATTTTGGGATAAAAATCCGGGATAACATTATCAAGGTAATCTCGATCGTCTACGAACAGGTTAGAGCCGAAAGATTCCGTCGTTTCCGTCAATACGGATGGCATAAGGCGGGTCTGTTGAAGAACCACCCCGGACTATTCGAGACACCAGCTGCCTACATATTTTCCGTCGACAAGGAACAGTGCGAGCAAAACGGCTGCCAATCTACTCCATTTATGCGCTGCGCGCACTGTGATATTTCGCTATGCTTCAAATGCTTTATCGAAGACTATCATTTCTGTTCTTGATTTTTTGCGTTGTTGATTTTTAAGAATTTATTTGGTTGCTGTTATCTAGAAATATGAATTGATGTTATCTAGAAATATGAAAGAGAATATTTTAACATGTAAGACGTTATAAAACAATAAAAAATAATAAAAAGCAAAAAGCAAAAAGATAAAATGACGGAGGAATCGAACTTATGCTATGCGCCAAGAAAAAAAGTTGAGAGCCTAGCGACTTACCTCTAGGCCACGCCCTCCTGCCAGGAGGGGGCACGGGAAGGCCTCTTCCCCCCGGGTGGCAAAATTTGCTAAAACTTAAAATGCTCATAACTTTTTACGGTTTTAGGCTCTGGTTGATTTTATTTCATATTCGAAATCCTCTCGTCAAGGCGCGTCGAATGGTGTATATGGCTTCGCAAAACTCGATGCCGAGTTCAGATACCTCCCTAGTTAGGCGCTGCTTTAATCTTGCGCCTAAAAGCGGGACATAAATTGGTGGAGAGAGACAGAGCGAGAGAGCGTCAGTGAGAGAGAGAAAGCGAGAGATAAAGAGATAGATAGAGAGCGAGCGTGTGAGAAATCGTGAGGTAAATACAGAAACACATACCGTAGGCATGCCTCCGAACGTAACGCATAGCCACAAAATATTCTTCCTCACAACGCGTCGCAAATTGGCCGAATGCCAAACCCAAATCCATATGGTAGCTATTGATTGGAGTCCAATGCTCACCGTTGCCACTGTCTTAAAGAAGCTATAGGGCGCACAGTGACAGCTTACCATCACATACGGTCTCAACGTATTTTCCTCAGACATTGTTACATTCCCGAGCTATAAAAGCCAACTTCGGCAAGAGCGAACGTGTCTTACCTGGCCCAGAGTATACGCCAGCCAAAATGTAAAGGTATAGATACTTACAAAGCATAACCGGCGTTCGGCCATCGAGATGGATTTGTTGCCTTGCGATTGGCTCTTTAGCCTGACCAGCTTTATGACCACGAGGATGTTAATAAGAAAACCGATAATTGCAAGGAAGGTGGCATCGCCCACGAATACGACACCGGTTCTGATACCAAACTAAAAGAAGCGATTTCGATAGTCTAAAAACTAGGGTTTTCCAAGAAGTGAAATATGAAAAATGAATTCCGAAGGTTAAAGAGCATCGTGCACCGCTTCGGGGTGTAGATAGGAGTGTGGGGTTCCCAGCACTACGCTGCGCTCCCTTCTTACGCGGTATGGCATTAGGTTTGTAACAGAGAACTGCGCAAAACGGAGCCTCGCGTAGTCGGCCTTCGAGAAAAGGGGAGCGAAGCCGCGACAAATGAAGTCAAACTGTGTAGAATGGTCTCGAAGCTAATATGTCCGTTATTTTGGCGTAACAGCAGGTAGCCAAACGCTGAAATGAGATAATGTGAAATGGTTGTGAAAATAATGACTTTGGCGCGGCAAGGGTGCTTTTCTCAGAATTGGTAGACCGGTCGGAATCGTCAAGTTTCCTAACGCTTACGCCCAGAGATTACCCAGAGATTCCGCAATCAAAAGGGCGGAGAAGCACAAAAAGATACTTACAAAATAAAAGCAAAAATGGTAGAAAGTCAAATCAGAGAGTTGCATATTTCCGCGCCCTCTGCCCCAGAATTGCACTGCGTAATTTGTTACGATACTTTTAGCGGCTTTAAACGGCTCACGCGTTGCGCGCCGCAAAGCGCGTGATCTAAAAGGACGGAAGACTCGCAAATCAAAGCTATCTGAAAGGCAAGACGATAGGTTTCCTTTGGGCCGTTGTGCGTCACGTGTTGCGCGCGTTAATTTGAGGATCCACAGCACAGAAAATTCAGCGTTCCCTTGCCGGCCCCTTGAAAACGTTCCTAGGACTACCGGGAATGCGGTGCTGTGTGTTTTTCTCAGAATATCTCGAGAGCCCTTTATGAAAAAGTCTTCAACTTGAAAATTATATAAACACTTAGGTTCTGTTCTTTTTAGGGGGAAATCGGGACATAGAAAAATGGGGGGAATTACAATTTAGAGTCCGGGCCGACGACTTCCTCGCATTCACAATGCGTTTCCCGCCAAGCTATCTCTTATTCATTGAAAATTTTATTAATAGTCGCACGATTTGTGCGCCTACGATGAAATAAGAATACTGGGGGGAATAAACACCAACCGGGGGGAACGAATTACAAATATGTGGGCAGTTGGGGAATCGGAAAAGGACAATCCGAGTACGGCAAAAAAGGCTATATACGGTTGCAGAGAACAGAAGAGCTCTAAATATCACATTGACAGCTGTGTTTTCAAGGAAGGAAGCCGAGAGCTCACAACGGCCTGCGGTATTTGCGGTGCCATTCAGGCAACAGAGGCAATTCTTCGCGGATCCTTTTCGGCTAGCCTTTTCTCCGGGTATTGTGTCATAGCAAAGGTCTAAAATTAACACATTAAATTCTTAAATTTAAATTATAAAGCAAATAGTTTAGTTAGGCGTAGTTCGTCACTAAGCGCTTAATGGTCTCGAGCTGACTGCGCGCCAAGAAAATTTTTGGAAGCACGCTATTCCATTTGTGCTGAAAACTATACCCTAAAACCAATTTGCTAAGAAATAATGCTCTTAAAACTGTTAAAGCTTAAGACTTACACTCATATGTGCCATGGGCTCAGGTACAGGCAAACATAACATCCGCGAACACCCATTCCGCGCCACGCGGCGCAGCGTTGCGGAATTCCAAACCCAGATCCATACAGTGGAGAGGGACAGTAGCATGCAGCTGACGCCGGACAGCACCTGATCACGGCAGAATATAGCTCTAATAACAGAAAATTTCAGTCACGACTTGCCACGGCTTTGCATACATTCACACACATCAAAAACGCCTTAAGAATTGTCAAAAATTACCAATGTTATCGACTTTAGCCAGAACCCGTAAGGTAGCATCATATTTCCGAACTAAACAGAATTTTCTCCAGGGAACCTCTACTAATCTTTACCTGCGCCAATGTGTAGACCATCCAGAAAAAGATTGTGTAAAAGCTGACGAAACACAGTCGAAGCTCCGCCTAATTCGCATAAAAAATTACTTTGAAGCGATACCTTAGTGATGTGGGCTTCAGTCGTAGCGACTTGACTGGACGCCTTCTTCATCGACATTAATTTGTTAATGACGAGTAGATTAATAAAATATCCGACCGATGCGAGGATAAGCCACCAAACAGTGAAAAGTTGGCCGGTCAGGATTCCGAACTAGAAAAAATATATAACCGTACTTTAAAAGTAGTTGATCGTTATACAAAATATAACCCTTTTTACAGTTTCTAGCAGTCAAAAAAATACAAATACCGTACCACAATCGGCTGCTGGCCGGCTGCCAAAAGCCAGCTCTGCGGGGCCACCTCGACAAACCGTGTATCCTGCACCCCAAAAGCCGTCCCCTGGCCGAGTGATATCAGCACACAAACTATTATTAGCCAATTTGTAGCGATCTCCCAGAACTAAAAATAAATTACCGAAATCATACCACATCGCCACCCTACCGTATTACTTTTCGACGATTTCCAATAAAGCGTCGTATACCGATTTGATGCAATAAGGATCGAGCACAAGATTTGGAAGCTGCGATTGAAGTTTTGGAAAAAGGTGCAGAAGACCGGGGTGAAGCCGGTCTAAATAAAATAGGAGCATATATTTAAAAGATTAATACATTAAAATGGCTGAAAGCTAAAGGCGTAAAAAGGGTAGGATTTACCTCAAGGTATGCGTAATACCCAAAAAGCCCACAACTCGCAAAATCCCATGCGAACAGGTCCAAATATAACGCAAAGATGTCCTAAAATCCAGAGCTCGAGTGTACTGTGTCTCGATACCGTAATCACCAAACATATACAAATTTTAGAATAAGGATTCAGCAGGCCTCTTGATTTATGGAAATGCGAAATCACGAGCACTGATAGGATTACGGTAGGTACAGATAATAAGAGAAGAAAAGCGTCTTTCACCAGCGTGACCCGATTTATCGAATCTACCGCGGCAGACATTTGGGGTCTTCTGGAAGCAAATTCGGAACTTAATCCGGAAGAATCCGGCAGATATCAGCAGAATGCCGACGTGCAGCCACTTCAAGTCGTACTAAAAACTAGCTCGACGTTTTTCAGGAAACTGGTAATTAGCCCGCTGGGCAGGCCCGTAAGAGGGGGCGAGGGGGGCGAGGCAAGGCAAAATAGGCAAAAGTAGGCAAAATAGGCAAAATAGGCAACTAGATAGACTAAACGAAATAAACGTAGGCAAAATAGCATTTCTTTCAATCATTACGCATTTATATGGCTGATAGGGGAAAAACATTTTTCAAGGCCGAACGTCGTCTATGCTTTGTTAGTATTTACACGACCTTTTTCTGGATCGTCTATACACTTATTATAGCTGATACCACCCCAAATCACATCGCCGGCTGATTTCGGCAGAATCTCTGCCTTATGCTCGCCGTTCGGGCAGGTTCCCCGACTCCACCGTGAGCAACGAAACAGACAAAAGCCGGTGGATCATTGCGTCTGCTCTATGCCGGCCTTATCATCCACATCGCACCCGCAAGAGGCAGTGCACCGACATGAATGTGGCCTGCGTGATGAATTGCAATTTCGCCCGAGCGTCAAATTTGAGATTTTGTAACAGTGCTTGGTTTTCCAAATGTTGTTTGCTGTCCAAATGTGGTTGTGAGAAAGGTGGAAAAAGTAAAATAAAGGTATATACCCTGATGGTTCAGGAGTGGTTCGTGAAAATTTTTTGCCCCCGCCCAAATCTCGGCTCCCGTGCGGGCCGCATCAAAATGATAGTGATACCGTTCGAAAGCTCAGGAAACGGTGAGTTTGCCAATGTCCCCCGCTTCAGTTGTCATTGAAACGCGTAATTTTGGAAGGCTCTTTTTAGCATCAAGATTTAAAAGATATAGCAGTCGGGGTATACATAATGTCTAAGCGTAACATAGTCAAGCCACTGATGCCAGTCCCGCACCATTGTCATCCGGCCGTTTCTTCTGGTCGTACACCGTCATCGCAAAAACCTGAAGCATACAGGTGCTAAAAAGGTAACTTACGCATTCACTTGGTGGTTCGATTGCCGTAGCACACAATAGACTATACAAATTTCTCTGTATCGCGCGGCGCAACGTTGCGCAATGTGAGACCCAGATCCAAACGGTAGCGATGGCCAGCAGATTCACACTGATGCCGGACACCATCTGAAAAATAGGCAGATGTGGATGAGTTGATCCGATCGGTGCAATACGGAAACATACCAAAGTGGCAGCTTTTAACGGCAGCTCATTGGGCAACGTCATGTTCCCAAGCTAAACGCATTATTGAGTTTTGTTTTTTGGCTATTATCTTGCCTGCGCCACTGTGTAGACGATCCAGAAAAAGGTTGTGTAGATACTAACAAAACATAGACGACGTTCGGCCTTGAAAAATGTTTTTCTTCATAAAGGGATTAAGACTATATTTACCCTCCCCACCGATCATGTTTTACCTTTATCTTACACAGGGTGTCCCAAAAAATGTCCGATTTTTACGATTTAGGTATCTATTGAAAGTTTTTGGAAAGGCGAGTCCAGCACGTCTTGCCGATTTTCGAAATGTCGGAATTTTTTGCTCGATTTTCGGCATTCTTCTTACGAAAAGGACAGGTTTTTTTGTCCAAAACGCAATTTAATCGGTTTAAGCGCCATCCAAGCCGTGTTTTTGGAATGGCTTTCAAAAAGCCGTCGTTGGGTTGCCAGGAAAGGCGTAAAAATTCTTAAATTGCAGGTTTTGTAAAAAACCTTTTGGTCAGAAAAACATCAGAAAATCCGCCCGTTTTGCAAAAACATTAGTAAACCAGCGCCCAAAACCCGCTTCGCGGGCCTTGGGCGCTGGAATGCGGCCTTTGCATAAACAATTTGACTTTTCCTTATCTCGGGTCCTTCGGACCCTCCTCTCCCTACCGACCACACATACGCGTGCAACTGGGAAGAATGAGAAAATTTCTATTTTTTCACATTATGCAAATTAGCCCCAAAAATGAGTAAAACCGGCTTTAACTTTGTAAACTTGTATTTTATCGCAATTCTGAAAACGCCATCAGAAACAGAAGGGTCGATTCCCCCGGTTGACGGAGAATTGGGGCATTTTGGACACGGGAAGGCCCTCAAATCGGGCCTCGAAAGTGACATCCACACACACACAGAGATACACTCCAAAATTATATAAGGTAGGATGATAGAAAAATTTGAAAATTATAAAAATCGGTAAGACGTGCTGGACTCGCCTTTCCCAGAGATACCCCATTTCCGACGGGTATTTATGCTTTTCTTCTAACTGTTTTATATTAGAAAAATATTTGGAGCTGCGATATACACTCGTAGTGCATTTTCAATGTCCTATCGAATAGCGTTCAAAAAATCAAAAAAAAAAATTGCGAAAATATCGAAATTGAGGACCTTTGGGCCTGTAAAGTAAAGTCTAGGCTCGGAGAGCCACGGATTATCCAGTTTGGGCCAGGCAAACCAGGTGCGAATTTCGTGTCGCGGGGTAAGGACAAGGAGCCACGTTTTAAAGGCTACGTTTTACATTGCGCTACCTTCGAAATCCGCTCTTCGGTTCCTGCTCTCGCCGATTTCTTCATCAACATCAGCTTCTTGAGCACCAGCGCATTCAGCAGGAAGCCAACCGTCGCGAGAAAAACCTCGTATCCGGTGAACAATTGCCCGGTCATGATCCCGAACTGGAAAATGCGTAAATGGCCCGCGTGGAACCCACGATCGGCTGCATGCCGGCGGCTAGAAGCCAGCGGCGCGGTGCGACTTCTATGTAGACCGACTTCTGCAGGCCAAAAAACGCCCCTTTGGCAGCAGAAAGTAACACGCAAAATAGTATGCCATAATTAACCCATCGATCCCAGTACTGAAACGGCCATATTGGCTTGAAAAATTAAATTAAATTTTTAACGGCCTTAAGACCATAGTCAATCAATTACCATAATATTTCTCGCCGGCTTCCAATGAAGCGTAGTATAACGATTTAAGGCTATAAGAATCGAGCATAGCAGTTGAAAGCTCCGATTGAAATTTTGGAAAAATGTGCAAAATTGTGGGACGAAACCGGTCTAAAATTCGCATTTTTTCGGCAGCCAGAATTTTACTTCCATATAAGCGTAATAGCTAAACAGGCCACAGTTCGCAAAATCCCAGGCGAACATGTCGAGGTAGAGGGCGAAAATATCCTAGGATTAACCTGATGTTTAAACGCCTTTGCGCTACCGTAATCACCAGACAAATGCATATCTTCGAATAAGGATTACAGGGCGTTTTCGCTCTCCGAAAATGGGCCAGAACCAGACTAAAGAGTATGATGGTAGGTATCGACAGCGTGATGAAAGTGGCGTCTTTGATGATGGCAGTTTTGTTAATGCTGTCCGCCATTAATAATAAGATTTTTGGCCAGTCAAGGCTTCAGATGCGGAAGAAGAAGGCGATAGGTTGTCACTATGACGAAAACACACGAGTTCCTACCCGGCTGGGCTAATTGCCCCTTCTGGGGCTCAAAGTGCTGGCTGCTGCGACGAGCAAACCTGCCAATATACCCTAACCCCAAAATTTCCTGCAGCTCAAGTAGAATATGGGCTTGGATCCGGAGACCGTATATACGAAACGATAGGGTATCCCAAAAACCCAACTCCCCCGCCCCTCGAAAACGCCTGGATCTGGATGATTTTTGCAGCATTCCATGTACCCGAAAGGATGAGGAAGAATCTGGAGCGCTCTAAACCTTAAAGCTCGATATTCAGCTCGATTTCTTAAAAAAAGCGTAAAATCAGTGTCGCCGTGTTAGCTTGAGAAAGGTGGATCGGTCTCAATCCGCTTTTTGCAGTTATAGTTTGCAGCTGCATTAACTTTATTAATAGTTGGTTCATAAGCAAAATTATTATCGAATCCTTATCCGTAGAATGCTCTAGGCAATTGTAGCCGGCAGCGGAGCAGTAACCTCCCAGGACTCGAACGAAGCCATGTCTACGCCACGTTGAATCTGGAGTTTTTAAAGACTTTTTAAATGATGTTAGGACATTACATCTTTTGCGAATAGATACCATACCTTGAAATAACCCTGAATTCCCCATCCGGTGCCCCACGAGTTGCGCACCAACCAGTAGTCCATCCCGTTTTCGGTCCCTAAAGTTTTTTGCTTATTTTGATACAAAATGGCAAATACCGTATCCAATGATCGTGACAGCATGTCCACCCACATACCCGGCACCCTGGTATTTGCAATTATTTGAATAGATCCCGCTCGTGTAGTAGTAAAAATCGCTGCAGACGATAAAGCCTGAAAAAAAAGCGTTGATCGTTTCGATCAATATCCAGATTTTGGATACCATTAATGCTTGGGTGATAAGTGAAACTGACAAGCAACAACTGGCCCCGTGGTCTGCAGATGGGTGATGATCCTGTCGGCGTTGTTGGTGAGGTCGACTAGGCCTATTAGAGGCTTTTCGACTGTCTAAAACTTCTTGTTGCCCGCTTATCTCTCGCTCTCTCTCTCTCTCTCTCTCTCTCTCTCTCTCTCTCTCTCTCTCTCTCTCTCTCTCTCTTTCTCTCTGTCTCTTGAACTCTCTCTCTTTTACTCTTCTCTCAATCCCTTTTCAATAAGTGGCAAAAGGTTACCGTAGCCGGGCAAGTTCCCTTAACCCCATTGTAGGCCAGATACTGAGCCCGGGGGAGGCCCTGATGAACGACAAGCCTGAAATTAAAAACGCTCATGGATCATAAAATTATACGTACGTTTGGGCAGCTGACGGCCATCCCCCGACACAAGTAGATCCGGATGTGCAGTCAAGGACGTACTAAAAAGTTGGTTTGCAGGTTTGAATGAAACCAAGTCAAGTCAATTAGCTAGCCTAAGGTATGGTCTGGAAAGAATTTCATCCAAAAGGTCGCGAAAAAGCATGAGCTCACCTGTTCCGAGTACGTCCTCTTGTTAGCTCCGGTGCGTCCGTTCTTTTTGTTGGAAGCAATCTCGATAGCGGCGACCGAACTGAAAAATCAACTTGCGCGGGAGAGAGAGAGAGAGAGAGAGAGAGAGAGATAGAAAAAACCTACGAGAAAGCCCAACAACTCCCGCATCCTCCCTGGTTCTTGATGGGACCGACAAAATCGAACGTGCGGTAGTCCAGCGTGCCGATGTTGGCCTGAACCGGGGCTCCATCAAAAAGTGATTAGCTTACGCGCTTTTGTCGAACCATCTGGGGCACATTCTTGGTGTGATTCTTCGTAATGGGGAGACGGGACGGGTCGAAGACCATCTGATAGTATTAGGAATGCGTGGAATGAAATTTTCGGTGCTTCATACCTTTTGCATCTCTTCCGGAGACCAGTCCATAAATTGGGTCTCGCCAACGGTGAAGCTAAAATTTTAGTTTATATTGTAAAATCGTACCTGTGACTTTTGTAGCTAAATTTTTGTAACTTAAGATACCTGCTTTAGCTTTAATTTCTACCGTGAATTTGGTTACCTGCTCTGGTTGACCTTCTTCATCCTCTTCCAGTTGGCCGCGAAGTTCTTCTTCCTCTTCTTGCACTCGTCGGCCCCATCGGTGCAGTTCTTCTTGAAGCTGAAACACACACAATTAAATTGAGTATTTTTAAGCAAAACCGACCGCGATCTGAACTTGCTGAACTGCTCGACCTCATCGTCGTCAAGGATCTTGTCCAGGTCCAATTTGAAGCGCCCCCAGGCGACGGTGGCCAGTCCAAGCAACAGCAGGATCAGGCAGCGGTTCATATTGAAGATTATTACCTTAAAAATCCTTTTATTCAAATTTGAGGTAGAGCGTATATGAAACAAGATCTAGAACTGTTTGACTTGCTATCTGCCCGACCGCTGTTCTTTTATAGGGCCATCGAGTTGAGGGGCGCTCACTTCTGAATGCCAAATTCCTAACGTCCAGCTCGTCTGTCCAAACATGGGGCAAATGGCCGCCCACCTATTGAACTTTATCTGCAGCTCTTTTTGACGCGCGTGACCGTCATGCTGGCTGTGTGTGGGGGGAGCGGCGGCCGGCCGGATGTTCGACATCTGGGTAAATTTTTACGAGGTGTCGAGCGCTGGACATTAAAGGTGGCTTCGAGGGGCTTTCCGAAAAATTTGGGCCATCGATTGGTGTTGTGCAGCCGTTCCTAGGTCTATATCGGAAATTTAAGGGCGTTTATTGGCTAACGCTTTTGCTGAACCTGACCGTAGACTCATAAAAATTGTAGCTGGTGAAGCGGTGCTAACTTGACGGCCGGTGCCCAATTTTTAGCGATGGAAGAGGATCTATCAATATCTACTCATCCGGTTTTTTCGATTCACGTTGAGGCATCGGATGCAACTAGTCCTATGCAGGGGTTATCCGCTCGAAAGCTTTGACCCGGTTTTTGCAAAAAGTCTCGGACTGTAGGCATTTCAAAAAGCTATACACTAACAGTAAAGTGTTTTCGTCAGGATGGAAATTCGAGATGGACCCGGCCTATCTTGTGCAGCAATTTTCGCCGATTCCGAATATGTTTTCAGAATTTCCAGAATGCCTGTTATTTCAAAAAGTTACGGCGCATTTGAGGAAGCTTTCGGACCAAAAATTGCATCTTTAAGCCCATGTAGAAATCGTAAGAGGCAAAATAAACAAAAGCGATGTATCACATGTTGCTCTGCGAGGAACGCGCTTTCAGATAAGGTGCCATACCTACATTTACACGATTTTATTTGTATACACTTATTTTGGGTCACCCTTTAGAAGGTGATCAGGCCGCTACATCCTTCTCGAAAATAGGCCGCATGTCGGCGATGATTACGGCTGGAACAAATTGGTTCCCCGATAGTCGAGTTAGGTATTTCACCTGTTAAGGTATTTCACCTAGCCAGACTCTTTTTGCGTCTTCGCGATAATTTGGCTGAGGTTGGTTAGGCAGAAAATCTTATCAAAATTTTATTCACGCATCCATCCAACAAAAATTTAGATGGTTCCGCAAATTGGGCCGACGGTGTGGTAGTTCTCGATGTTGGCAGTGTTCGAGCCGCGTTTGATCTGAAACGGATAGATGAGGGAGAGAGAGAGAGAGAGAGAGAGAGAGAGAGAGAGAGAAGAGAGAGAGAGAGATTCCCTACCTTAAAATATCCCGACATTCCCCAGTTGCTTCCCCACTGGTTGCGAGCAAGCCAATAATCAACTCCATTCTCGGTTCCTGGAGCAATAGGATCATTTCCATATCCGGTGCCCTTCCTACCGTATCCAATGAGGGTGATTGCGTGTCCTCCCTGGTAGTCCGAATCGGTGGTCTTGCAGTTACGGGTGTAGATGCCGTTCGTGTAGTAGTTGATGTCGTCACAGATATTGAAGCCTGAAATTCGTTTATATTGAATAGCACAGACCACAAATACTGTTGGAAATGTGCAAAATAGCCTACAGGCAACAACAGGCCCGGTGTTCCAGATGAAGTCGCGAGTTCCGGCGGCGTTAGAGGTCAGGGTGGTCTGGCCAGTGACGGGGCGGAAAACCGACTGAAACACGATTTTTAACTTATTGTTGGTTTTTTATGCATGACAGGCGTAGTCCCGTTAATTCTAGAAACTTACGGCAGTCGGACAGCTCGACGACTTGACGGCCTTGTAGGGGAAGCTGGAGAGCAGGGCCACGCCGGAGGTGTTCACGCGCCTTGAATAATACATTAGAAGCCCGGTAGGCGCCAAATTACTTGATGGCATCGCTCGGCCATCCCCCAGAAATACAGTCGCCTTGGCTGGTGCAGTCGAGCACGTGCTGGAGGAGTGGAATTTGCAAAATGCAGGTTTTTTTTACCTGATCCGAGAATTTGCGCATGTTCGTTCCGTACTTTCCGTTGACCCAGTTTGATTGGATTTCGATGGCCGCGACGGAGCTGCAAAAACGTGGCCACCATGTACCCGCCAGGTATCTCTCTCACTCACTCTCTCACTTTCTCACACTCTCTCACTCTCGCTTTGAACTCTCCCTAGCTCTCCCTATTTTGCTCTCTCGCGCTTTTGCGCTCTCGAGCCCTGACTCTATCGCTCTCTCTCTCTCTCTATCCTTCTATATCTCTCTCGCTCTCTCGCTCTCCTTCCTCTCTCTTTCTCTCTCTCGCTCACTCTCTCGCTTTCTTCTCAACACCTACGCAAAAGCCCAGCAGCTGTTGCAGTCACCCTGGCTGCGGATCGGATTGACAAGATCATATTGGCGGTAGTCCTCCGTAGCTCCGACGGCCTAAATTATAATAGCATTTTTATTGTAAAGTATTGTGACCTTTAAAGCGAGCCTTTAAGGGAGCTTTTATATCGATACTTCGGTATCCAGTTTCCTCTGGACGCCAACTTACGCGCTTGCGGCGCCTGGGAGCATCGTCGGGGTGTACTTCCGGAATGGAGGCGTCGACGACCGGTTGGAAATCGGGGCCGAGCAGGAACTACAATCATTCTTTTGTGCTGTAATAGCGTTGGATACCTTCTTCTTGTCCTCCAAACTCATATCCATGCGGTCCGTCAAGCCGAGCTCGTAACTGTAATTTTCGGGGTGAGAGGTTATGATGATTTACGAGCTTTACGTCGCAGAAAATCTATCACCTACCCGTCGCACGTCTTGTTCTTCTCGACGATGTACTTCCAGTTGCGGGCAAAATTCCTCTTGCGGTTCTTGCAGTCGGCAGATCCATCCACGCACTTCCGGCCGAAGCTGAAAAACAGGGTAAAATCGTTGAAAAACGATAGGTCGATGAAAATTGTTTGTTTCGTAGTGAAGATAATTTACCGTGACTTGAACTGGTTGAACTTCTCGGCGGCACCGTCGTCAAGAAGCCCATCCACATCCAGCTTGGACAGGGGTCCAGCCGAAACCCACGCCGCGAGACCGAAGAGCGCGAGGAGCACGGGGCGGCTCATCGTATTTGTTACCCTGCGAGAAATGGAAGTGGATCGAATAAATCAAATTGAAGTGGAAGTGAAGTTATTGTTAGGTCTAACATACGCCTAAACCATGCCTAAGCTATGCCTACGCGAAGCTTAATCTGAGCTGTGGCTTAAAATCCACTCTGCTCTACCGACCCCAAGCTTTACTTTTTATACTATACCCGCGATCTCTCCATTCCATGCATCCGAGCCCAAAATTTCATTTCAACACGTGAATTCCAAGAGTATTCCTGGCGTACCCCACGGCTTCCAGCGGCGTTTGATCTCGGGGTTTTTTCATATTATGCAACCTGTATTGCAGTCGTCAATAGAACCCCCGCTCTTCTGGACCAAACGGAACTGAAATTGCACAAATGCGGAAGTTTTGTTGGAAGGTATCAAATTCAGGAGACCGCAATTTACACAATGAACCTTACCATGATTTAACATTTTTCATTCTGTTTCATGCAGTTTTGGCATTAAACGAGCTCGCATCTGGATTTATTTGCATACAAAAACGCATAAATAATGTCACGGACAAAGCGTAAGATGAGAGATAGAAACAGACAGAGAGAGAGAGAGAAAGAGAGAGAGAGAGAGAGAGATAAAGAGCGATAGAGAAATAGGGCTACACTTTACCTTACTCCCCCCCCCCAGCCGGAATGTTTTGGCTACAACTTTTCTTTGATTTTACATGATGTAGGCTCAAATTAAAACTCTAAGTCTATTTTTCGACGCTCTACCGAATGGCCTTGCAAAAATCCCGACAAAATAAGCAAAAATACCGAAAACTTTGAGATCTTTCAGCTGCGGGGGGGTAAAGTAAAGTGGTACGCATAGGATAACGGGGGGGGGGGCGGGGGGAATAACGGGGGGTGGTTGTGGTCAGGGCCGTAACAAACCCAAATTTCGGGGGGCGACCCCAAAAATTTTCACCAATATGACGAAAAATACAGCGCCGCAGGCAAAATTTTTGAAAACATAGGGTTTATAACACTAAAACTAGTGTTAAAAATAGACAAAAATAGCGCCGCAGGCAAAAAATTTTTTGGAAAAATTAAATCATAAGGGTCCCCCCTTATAAACTTTTCGGCCTTCGGCCGATTTCGGGGGGGGGCGGCTCGCCCCCTTGCCCCTCTTACGGGCCTGGTTGTGGTCATGATTTAACATTTTTCGTTCTTGGCAGTTTTGGCATTTTCGAACACATGGTTTCGAACAGGCGACTTGTCGAACAGGTGTCTTTTCGAACAGATGACTTTTCGAACAGAGCCTGGGCCAAGGAGCTTTTCTTTGGTCTGCGGCGCTAGAGCGCGAGCCAGGCGTAAACTTTGCACACCGAGAGCCTAGAAATATGTTTTGTTGCCGAACTACCAAAAAGCAAAAAATCAAATTCTCCCATGATCCGAACTCACGACCCTGCGCGTGGTAGACTTGCCCGGAATTCCATCAGGGCTTCGAGTTATGGCCCGGACACCACGGCCCGAGACGCAATTTATTAAGGACCTTTTAGAAAATTCCTTATAAAACTTTATCTTAAAGATTTGCAAAATCGAAAAAATTGTATCTGGGGAATTACTTTTGCCGTCTACCCTCAAAAAGTGAGGGCCCATTCCCTCTAAGGGCCGGGAAAAGTTCCGGACAACGCTGCAAAAACCCATTTTGTTAAGGATTTTTCGCATTTTCGCTTGTAAAATCGTTAAATCGAAGAGGTTGGAAAAATCCAATAAAAGCGTTTTTTATGAATGGCATTTTCCACCTCCATGCCAAAAATCAGCTCGAATCTCGGCCTGACGGCCGTGAAAACGGCCGTACAGAAAACAAACATACTTTTCTCGCTTATAGGGTAG